ATTTGCCTAAAAGGAAATATGCAAAAAAGCTTGACCATAGGTTTCCAATTGCCGAACTTCAAGTAATTTATTTATATTTTTATAATAAAATTATATTTTAAACTTTAGATTTTAGCAACACTACCTGATTCGAGATTTTAAAATTGTTTCAGAATATATAAATTCGAATTTTATGACATCATTACAATTTTAAATCAGACATTTAGAACTTTTAAAGCTTTATAGAAATGCACAGAGTCAGATTTAAATTGAAAATAATGAGCAAACATCCGTTTATATACATAGTTAAAATAACTCGTAAACATTCCCTTCCAAGCAACGATCCTAACATTTACATTATAGAGTATGAATGCCATATTTTGCTCAGTCAACATAATAACCAGGAGAGGGTGCACAACCTTTTGGGGAAAAATACGACTGGAACTTACTAGGCATGCCAATTTAGATAGGAAGGTTCTTTGTATAGCTGCAACCAGTACACCCAGGTGGAGAATATTTTCCATTGCTTAATAATCAATGCCTAAAGTATTTCTTTATGCCTCAAGAATCTTGATAAAATACTATTTATTCATGACAATTATAACTTTACTAAATCTGATTTCTAATTTATTACATTTCTTACTTTATATTTTGCTTGCATTCTAAATTTATAATTCGTTAATCAATAGAATATTACTAAAATGTGTTGTTTATTTGACTCTGATCTGAGTAAAAATGCAATTCATTCATCTATTTCCGAGATGAGAAAATGCATAAATTTAAATAGGAATGAGACAGAAAATAATTTAAGAAATGAATTAAACCATATTAACAATGAACTAAGAATACTCAAATAAATTATAAAAAAAAATAGTACATTGAATTATTTATTAAATTTTTTAAAATAAATAGCATGACGCGGCCGCCGCAAATTTATTATCCGGCGACAAAATTAACGCGCCACCAAACGTTGATAAAATTTTTTTAAAAACCGCTGCAGTCAATTGAGGCTTCGGCGCACAAATCTACTTGATATAAAACAATTATAAGTATCTTATTAATAATTTATTTTTAATTGTTGTATTTAAAAGGCTAATAAATTATTATGATTCTTATAATAGATACATAAAGTAAATATCATGAAATATTATATATTAGATATAAATATATAAAATAGTTAATATCTTTTAAAATTTATTTATTTTTAGTTTGATTATTGAAATTCCGCGATTATTTTAAAGTTTTTATCATGGGTTTTATATATTAATAGTTGAACATAATTTAAAGTATTATAAATTTGTATAAATGTTTATATGATATATAAAAGATTTTATATATTTAAAATTAATGAGAAAATTTATTTTTAATAAATAAAAAAAAAAAAATTTATTCACTTAATACTATTAATTCTAAACATGGCTAATATATTGTGTTATAAAATATATGGCATTTATTTATATTAAATTAAATATTGTATAAATTTTAAAAAATTTATTATTTTAAAAAATGTATTTGTAAAGTTTTTAACGATATAAACGCGTTTGTAATACTAGTTTTTAATAATAAATATATTTATTGTATTTATGACAGTTGCAATCCAATTTAAAATATAGTTAACTGTGTATATTAATCAATGACTTATATATGTCATTGATATTAATAAAAAAAAATTGTTGATCTAATGGGAATGCACTCATGTAGAGAAATAACATTTGATTTTTTTTTTACTTTTAGATTTTAAAAACTTTTTTTTTAAAAAAATGCAAGAGAAAAATTTTTAATTAATTGGAAAAAGTCGAGTTTTGAAGATGGCCCATTTGGTTTATGTTTTTTAAACACTTATGAAATTATAAGAATTCATATTTAAATTATCTTTAGATTATTACAATTTTATATGAATTTAATGTGAAGAAACATAGAGAAGTTAAATTTGTTGATGGATTAATCTTTCCAAATTTATCTCAAATTACATACGAATATTAAAATAGGGTACGGACATCTTAGGCGTTTGAACATAGAGTTAGCTTCTGTGGGCTCACAGGTATCTGGAGACTACCCAATTATTGGTAAATAAATATTTTCCTCTTATACACCTTTAAGCAGTGACCCCTACACTTTTTGAGGGATAGAAGCAGAATACCCCCCTAAAGTACCCCCCCCCCCATTGTAAATTATTTTTTGACACCAATAAATTTCAAAAATAATTTTTATTGCATCAATATTTATTATAATATAAATATAATGTAAAAAATATATGCTTTAAAAATATTATTTTTAAATGAATAATTTAGATAAATTAGGGGAAGAGAAAGCAAAAGAATTTATAATTTTATCAATATTTAATTGTTTAAATAAATTATTTTCCATTGATAAAATGGTTAAATTATTAAGAAATGGATCTTTCATGACACTACGAAGTCTTGTTTTAATTAGTTTAATTTTACTCATGACCCTTTCGGCAGTACATGATGTAGTAGGAATAGTTAATAAATATTTATATAAAATTGTTAGGGAAAGCAGAAAAATTTATAAGCAGATGATAAGGTAAAATAAATGAATAGTTTTTCCAGTCTGAATCATTCATCTCAGAATTATTATCATCATCAGAAGAAGCTAAATAATGTATTAGTAAAAATATTTTAATTAAATAAATTTACAATTCTCAGAATCTGACAAATCTTCTTTAACCTCTAGGTCACGAGTAATAATTACGTCCCCCGTTTTAGCCATTTTATAAATATTTCTAAACATCAACATTTCCTCAAAAACTTGATTTGTATTTAATTGATAAAATTCACAGATATCCTTGATATCATCTTTAACAATTGCCTTTTCCGCCATTCCCTTTGGGGTAAAAAATGATGTTTGACTCAAAAATTTTATCGATTCATCGTTAAATCTTTCACTAAACTGCATAATAATTAAAACAAGTGCAGCATAAAACACACTGATTTTAAAGCTAAAATAAAATATTATATTTAATGATGAAAGTATATATATATCTCTCCTTTTTGGATTGTAATGTTTGAAGTCTTGAACTTTCAAAATCAAAAGGTAAATTTCTCTTCTTCATAAAATCTTGGGCCTTTTAAAAAAGACATCCAAAAATTCAGTGTTATTATCTATTTTAGGATTATAAAATAATAAAAGATAATAATTTAAATTATACTTCTCATATTAATCAGGCAATCTTATTTGATTTATTGCAAACCCTATATCCTTAGAAATGGTTTGCAATTTTGTACAAGCCAAGCTTGTTATCAACAATATTTTATCCAAAACACATAGTGATAAAATAAAATCAAATGTTTCTATTCTATAGACTATAGCACTAGCCATAGTGGAAGTGGCAGGATCTTCAGAATCCTTTAAATTTGCCAAAGCTGCCCTCAAAGCATCATAAAGTAGGAAAAAAATTACAATCGCCTTATGTGATGTTAGCCAGCTTCTATAAATATAAAATAAACATTATATATCGAAACAATTAAGATAATATTACCGAGTGGTATTCTTGATGCGTAAAAATCTATGTGATTTTGTCAGTAAATCACTCTGACATGTTTTGAGTACTTCATATCTTTTAACACCATTAAAATATACGTAAATTTCGTCTAATATTCCCAAGACATTTCGCAGCTCTTTTACTGATTGGCATAATTGAACAACTATTAAATTTAATCGATTACAATAGCACCAAATTAAAGCTGCCTTTGGCGCCTCCGCTCTAATCGAAGCCTGAACTCCATTAATTCTTCCACTCATGTTTGAGGCGCCATCATAGCTTTGCCCCACTAGGAATTCGAGGGGTAGATTCACGGAGCCAAGCTTGGATATTATATTCTTTTTAATATCGAGGCCCGTTGTATTTCTCGTACAATAAATGTCTATCAGCCTTTCAACGGGCTTAGGTGTCTCGCTATTTTCAACATATCTCACTATCAAAGCTATTGCTTCTGATTTCGATACATCATATGTGCCATCAACTATAATTGAATAGCACCTGTTGAATTCAATCTCCTTTTGAATTTTTTTTATAACCATATTTTTCATGGTTTCAATAAGAATATTTATGTTATTATATGATAACAGATTTGAATATAATTTAGATTTTAATCCCTTAATTTTTTTCTCACTTCTTCTTTCTTCATTATCTTGTATATACATTTTAAGAACAGGCTCAGAATCTGCAATAAGTTTAATAAGGCTCATCATATTGCCATCTTGTTGCCTGTTTCTCCAGAAGGCTTGATTGCGAGATAAGCATTTATATTTTTTTTGGTTAATATTTTTGGGCATATTTTGACAATGATCTAAAAATTATAAATGATTATATATAAGATTTAATATTTAAATTCTTACTATTCCCTTTGATAAAATTTTAATTTTGCGCAAATCTTGAAAGTGGAAAAATAATTTTATGATAAGAAATATCGGATAACAAACTAATTTGCTAAACATCGACCATAAAAATTTTAAAAAAAATAAAATAAAAAAATTTTTTTTAAAAAATTTTAAAATTTTAAAATAAAAAATTAAAAAAATTTAAAAAAAAAGTACCCCCATAGAAATTTATAGAAGCAGTTGCTTCGGACCCCCCCCCCCCCGTTGTAGGGGTCACTGCCTTTAAGACTTTAATCAGTTTGAAAGGCATGGAAAGAACTAGGCTCGAATATTTTTTGTTTATATATGTTTATAATTAAATATTATAAACAGTATATTAAATGAAAAATTTTAAATCTATGAGTATTACTTACATTCCCCTATATACCGTTCAAGGGTTACTATATATCATTTCTAAAAAATTTAGCAATATTTAAAAGATTTTTTAGCAATTATCCTTATCTTCATAATAATTTAGCCCCTATTAAATAAAATAATAATATCAATCTTATTTTGTGTGAGTTAATATCAATGATATATATCATTGGTTAATATATAAATAAAAAAAATGTACAATGTAATATTATATTACTGTTTTCCTCCTTGTTGTTTATATAAAAATATCAACTGATTATCATATGTTAAAAAATTTAAAATGCGGATTGCAATAATCGGTCAGAGCAAATTTAGTGCTGATACATTAAAAATATTAAAAAACAATGGTTATAATATATGTGGGATTTTTTGCATAGAAGATAAAAATGGGAAACCCGATGATTTAGGTAATATTGTATTATAATATATACATATAACAGCAAAATATTCTGTAGCCAAAGAAGCAACTAATTTGAAAATACCAGTTTTCAAAATAAAAAAATGGCGAAATGGAAAATTGATAATTCCTGAAATATTTGATTTATATAAAAGTATCAAGCCAGATTTAAACATTCTTCCATTTTGTTCCCAATTTATTCCTATGGAAATAATACTTTATCCACAATATAAATCAATAGTTTATCACCCATCACTGTTACCATTACATAGAGGTGCATCTGCCATAAATTGGTAAAAAAATATTTTTGAATCATTGATATACTTATATTTGTGTAAAGGACACTTATGAATGGTGATAAATTGGGTGGCTTTACCATTTTTTGGGCTGATGATGGACTTGATACAGGCTCAATATTATTACAAAAACAAACAGAGATAGAAGAAAATGATACTGTTGATACATTATATGCAAGATTCCTTTTTCCTGAAGGTGTTAATAGTCTAGTAAAATTAATATGATTCAATAAAACATGAAAACAAACCTTTATCGTTTAAATATTAAATTTTTTTTCTCTTGTTATTTTATTTTACTTATGATATTTGTCATCAAGCCTCATTTATAATAATAGTGAATAAAGATCTGCTATACTTGGCCTGGCCAATGAATCAGACTGGGTTAGGCAATGTTTGAAAAAAATTATTTAGGCTGGATAAGAAAATTAATAGGCCAGACAAGACAAGCAAAAAGTAGATATGCCTGATGTGCTTAATAGAGAATAGAAATTTATTATTCTAAAGCCTAATCTTGTTAAAATAATATATTTTATTTTGCTTAACATTGGCATATGCAGTAGGGGCACCCCCCCCCCCCTACAGCCAAAAAATCCAGATATCGGCTGAAATATTTTTCAAAAATTTTACTGAATCCTACATCTTATTGCATTATATTTTTATTACGTTCATAGCAGCGATAAATACGCTAGTGATCTGCATTGGGCCTAATTTTTCAAGCCCAGCCCGACCCAAATTTTTTTTAAAAAAGTTTTGCCGGCCTGGCTCGTACCCCAAATTTTTTTAAAAATGTTTGGTCGGCCCGGCCCGAACCTGAAATTTTTTTAAAAAAAATTTACCAACCCGGTTTGGCCTGAATTTATTTAAATATAGAAATTAATTTTTTCAAAATAAAAAACATATGTTATATGACGTTTAGTTTCAATAAATAAAATCAAATATTTTTATTTTACATAAAAAATACAATATAAAATTGAGAAATTTATATATATTTAAAAAAAATTCCAAGGTCCGACCCGGCTCATATTTTTTAAAAAATATGCCCGGCCCGAACCCGATTATTTTTTAAAAAATATTAGGCCCGGACTGAAGCCGATTATTTTAAATAGAATTAGGCCCAAGCCCGGCCAGAAGCCCGTTCGGGCCGGGTATGGACCGGGCCTAACTTTGCAGATCTCTAAAATACGCTACTAATTTCTATGAATTAATATCGATTTCGAATTTTCCTTGTTGTTATATTTAACAATAATTTTAAAATTTATTACCAAATCATTTAAAACTTTTTCACTGCAAAACTAAAGTAAAATATTTCAAAAAAATTACATCGATAGACCGTGAGAATAGCTGAAAGCTTATATTGGAACTTAAGGAAATCGACGAATTTCATAAGTTATAAGTCAAAATCAAAAGCAGAGCTCTATTATTTTAATATTTGTCTGTCTCGACTCTCAACAAGTCAAACCATCGTTTCAATCAATATAGGGTCAGTCGAAGAATGCTATAAGATAAATCTCTTTCCCCCTTTTAGATACTTTTATAATTCAAATGAATGCGAAGTTTTTGAATAATCAGGTAGGACTTACAAATCTGTAAATATTATTACTGCAAAATCCTTTCGAATCTATTTTCTTGATAGAGAAAAATTAAATATTTGTCGGATTTTTATTGTGAGGATGTTAATCCTATGATGCACTACTAGCTGAATTCAAACTATGGTATAAAAGTTTAACTATGGCTGATAATTTTCAAAAAAAATGCTATTTTCTTCTTTAACAAGAATAAAAACGTACATGAGAAGAAGTATTGTTAAATGCTCGATTTGAGCCGATTTTAAAAAACGGCTAACTAACTTAATATTATAACCAGAAACTAAGCCTCGAGATTTCAAAATTAGATCTCTAAGCCTTTGTGCCAACTGTGAACAAAATCTTCAAATTTACTTTAATATTTTTATGGATAAAATATTGAGTTAACCGTTTTTAAAAATCGGCTCAAATCGAGCCGTTTAACAACACTGAGAACTACTACATCTGGAAACAAATTGAATGGGTTAGCCCTTCTTAATATATATAGGTAGTTGACACCAAACACCTACAAAACATTAAAAAATGAGCTAAAGACGATTTGTCATATTGGGATATGGAATCATCTGAGATTCAGAATCCCAACATGGGGATTCGAGATCTTGAATCCCCACGTTTTATTCGGAATAAAAAAATATTTAAAAAATATTCCGAATCCCCATGAAGAAAAATAAATAATATATTTACCTTTTCTTCCCTTTTTTACCGTCTGGCTGGCACCATATAATTAAAAGGCCAAAATAAGGGATCTAAGAAAATTAAAAAAAAAGTAAATAGTTTAAAATTGAGGCATATAATGATGAAAAATAAAGGTTAAACATTTTTGTTTTTCTAAATTTCTATGAAATATTAAATATTTTCACATAAATATATATTTTAAAAAAATCCGAAACAAAAAAAAATTATTGATTGCAACGAATCTTCAATGCTATATGACATTTCTTTGAAATTTAAGATTGTTCTTGAAACACTATCACCTTTTATTCATGCAACCCATTTTGCAATTGCATAACGATGTTTTCCCATATTTTGTGACATTCCGGAAGCTCCTAAATATTTTTAGCAATTTAAAATAATTAATACATTTTATGTACATGAATTAATTTGAGGAGTATATGTGGTTACTATAAAAATAGCTAAATTACCTATGATTGATATATCTTTGTTGGGAACTTCAGAATCATTTAATTTATAGTTTATATAGATTAGTGGCAACGAATGGTGCTGAAATTCTTCCAGCACACGTTCCTACCCATATTTTGTTTAATTTTTAATACTTTCCCTTCTAAATTTTTAGGAATAAAATAACTCAGAGACCTGCAGAGGTGCCATTTGCACGGCCCGGCCTGGATTTTTTTTTTAGAAATATTATATTTATTTATAATGGCGATTTATAATATTTGGTTTTAAAATATATTGCCCAGCCTTATTACATTTTGAAATTTATTTTTAATATTAGTTTAAAATTTTTTTTAATGCCTCAAATTTTTTACCCAAAACAGTTACAGAATATAATTTATATAAAACCATATTAAAAAAAACCAAATACAAATCTATTCAAAATATACGCAAGGAAATGTAGATAATATTTTTAACGATTCCGTCACTTTTTTTATTGTTTACAAATGAGGAAAATTATGTGAAAGCTATATACATTGCTACTAAAATAGCAAAGGTTTCAATCAAAGATTCGCGCCTTCTAATTGTCCATAATATTACTAATAGTCCTTGTTCAAAAAATGTTGCTATAAAATTACATAGAAAAATAGTTGTGATACCAATAATATTGGGAATAGTATTTCTAGTGTTTTAAAAAGGGCCCCTTCTTTTATTTCATATTTAAATGATCGTGGGCGTCAAAACATAATTTATTCTCAAATAATTCGACAAAATAACTTTATCTTAGGTCATCACTTGTTATCTGTCCTAAAAATTTAGAAGGGAAAGTATTAAAAATTGAATAAAATAAAATATGGGTAGGAACGTGTGCTTGAAGAATTTCAACACCATTTATTGCCTCTAGTCTATATAAAACTATAAAATTAAATGATATTGAAGTCCCCAACAAAAATATATCAATCATAGGCAATTTAAGCTATTTTTATAGTAACCACATATACTCCTCAAATTAATTCATGTACATAAATGTATTATTTTTTTTTATCTAAACTGCTAAAAATATTTATTCCCCGAATGTCACAAAATATGTGGAAATATGTTATGCAATTGCAAAATGTGCATGAATAAAAGGTGCGAGTGTTTCAAGAATAACATCAAATGTTCAACGAAATGTCATATTGCATTAAATAATTGTTGCAATAAATAATTTTTTTTTAATTCGGATTTTTTAAAAAATATATATTCATGTGAAAATATTTATGATTTTATATAAATTTACAAAAAAAATGTCTTTTAACCTTATTCCTTTTCATTCCTTATATGCCTTTACTATTTACTTTTTTAAACATTCTCTTATCCTTTTTGATTATATAATTTATTTATTATAACAAAATATATCTCAGAGACTTGCAGAGGTACCATTTGTACGGCCCGGCCCAGATTAAATTTCGGCCCGGTCCGGATTTTTTTTTCAAATATTTTTTACGGCCTGCCCGGCCAGGCCCGGATATTTAAAAAATAATTTTTTGAAAGCGCGGCCCGGCCCGGCGGCCCGGCCCGGCCTGGATTTAAAAAAAAATTTTTTTTAGGCCCGGCTCGGAATTTTTTTAAATTATATTCGACCTGGTATATACAAAAAATTCATCTATTTCGTATTTTATCATATTTTTCGGCGTATTATCATTTAATAAGCAAATATATTAGCTAATGTAACGGCTCGTTTTGAGCCGATTTTTAAAAACGGCTAACTCAATTTTTTCGCTAGAAAAATATTGACTAAGCCTCTAAATTTCGATACTATATGTCTGACCTTTGCTCCTTCTATGAGCAAAATTTTCAGGCTTGCATAATATTTTTCTGGATAAATAACTGAGTTAGCCGTTTTTAAAAATCAACTCAAAACGAGGCGTTTAACAACACTATAAAATATTGACTAGAAAATAATTTAAAAAACAAGTTTTTTTTAACTTCTTATCAAATACAATATTATACAATTTTTTTTATTAAATACTATAATTATAATGTGATTTTTAATTTTCGTGGGAATGTTGCCAATTCATCAAGAATTTTGTTTGTCGTTGGAACCAAATCTCTGTGGATATTTAACATAGCTAACCCATTTAGCCGAGATTCGGAAGTAGTACTTCATAAATATGTTTTCAACTTTCTTAAGTTGGAAAGTCCTTTCATTCGTACATGTTATAATAGGCAAACATGGTAGAATATAAAACAACTTCAAAATATTAGGAATTTGAGCCAAGGTTTCTTTACATCGATTGGGCGCATTAATAGCATGCTCAGGTAAAATAGCTAAACGTAGTAAATATTTATACCACAATTCGAATTCACTGATTAAATTTATTTCAGTAACAATATCATAGGAATATAATTTTGCTAAATATTTAATTTTACCAATAGTGACATTAGAAAACGAAGATGGATCTTTGGGTATTAAAACTTGATGATTGCTAAAGACTTGTTTTTTATCTAAAAACCGTACTTTTATTGCGATAAAAAGTATCTAAGAATGGGATGAAAGTGGATATTTTATAATATTCTTCAGTTGAGCCAATATTTATTTTACATCTCAATAATTGCCCAGGTGCTAGACGAGGTTTAATTAGTGTTATATCATAAATTTTAGCCTTCGATTCAACGTCTATATAAATATTATGAAAATATTAATCTACATTCATTCTTATTGTATCTACTGTTCATATATATTTTCCGCCAAATCAATAACCTGAACCAAATCTAAATTTGGTTTTTGTAAATTTCTACAAAGTAGTGAGCTATAGAAAAATAATTTATTGTTGCAACTAGCAGCAATGATAAACTCTGATTGATCAATTGAATTCAATATTGATATCGCTTCTGACGACACATTACTTTTTTTCATGCTCAGCCTTAGTTAACTTTTGTATTTCTATTTCTTCTGTTTTACAAAATCGAAGTAAAAATAAAATATTTCAAAAATTATAGATATTTATTAATAATTAATATTAAAAATACTTATTAATTCTAACTTACTAATAATTTTGAATTTAATAAAATAATTATATATAATAATAAAATAAATTACCATTTGATTTCAATCTCTTTGACTTAAAATTTTTCCATTTTATTAATATTTTTGAATAATGTTAATGTACTCACAAGGAAAGGAAATTTTAATAAAATTTATTTATAAAAAATAAATTTTATGTTGGAAAATTGATATTCAAATATTTGTAAAATTTTGATTGGAAGGGTAGGGGAGGGGGTGTAGGGTATATTATTATTAGCTTAAAATGATATTTATGAAAACAGTCAAATTTGCGATGGGAGGGGGATTTCCCCCTTCCCCTCCCCCATTGGTTACACGCTTGGAATATACTATGTATTTATATAAAAAATAAAAATGATATTTTAATTAATAAGAAATATATTATATATTATATAATAATGTATTTAATCCTTTGCGTATTTATTCCTTGGCGGAAAACTATAATTTTATTATGTAATAGATACTATGAGTGTTAGCTAGTGTTAAACATTATATTAATTATAACTATATATAATCATTATAACCTAATCGACGAATATAATAATTCATGTTGTATAAATTTTTTAAAAAAATACGGCCCGGCCCTGGTACCCGGACCGGGCTTAGGGCCGGCCCTACAGGTCTCTGATATCTCTAAAAATAAAATTTTCTGGTGCCAGCCAGGCTGCAAAAAAGGAAAAAAAAATTATTTAATTGTTTTAAAAAAATATATTCCGAATCCCCATGGGTTTTAAATATTTAAAAAAATATATTAAAAAAAAGACTCCAAATAAAACTCGAATCCCCACGTTGGGATTCCGAATCCCACATGATTCCATATCCCAATACAACCAGAAATGTATTCCAGCATGTTTAGAATGCCTATCTTATGAATTGTAGACTTTTCCGTTAACTTTGAGCCATTTATAATTTATATAAAAAATCTATGGAAAATTATATTAAGTTCATGGCAAAATTGTCTGAAATTTATAGGGAAGGTATTCCAAACATGATGGAATATTCCCATATAATTAGACTTTTAAATTTAAAAAAACACGGTCAAAAAATGATTTAAATTTGAAAATAACGTATTGCCGGAAAAAATACATTAAAGTTAACATATATACATTTAATATTTTATCATTAATTTATTTATATTTGAAGTATTATAAATTGTAAAAAATATTTTTTTTAAATTTAACCCCCCCCCCCCCCACCACCTCTCCACACACAACAGCCAATTCCTGCATCTCTTTGTTGCTTATAATAATTTTAATAATTTAAGTACTTACTACTAGAATCATTCATTAATACGATTTCTTTTTCCTTTTCCTACATTTTGTGTTTATTGCTAGAGAAAATCTTGAAACCTAAATCCTCATCATGATTGGATAGTTTTCCATACTAGATATTTTGGATTTTAAAAAATCAGGCTAAGACTCCTAAACATTTTAGTAATTTATTTCAATGAATATGTCCAGACAAAATGATCATTTCAAAGGCTTTATAATATTATATTATTTGTTTGATTAATTATTTCAATTCGAAATATAATATTTAAAATGCTACAGGTATTATTTGTTCTCAAACAAATATTATTAAAAAATTAAAAATGGAACGTAATGCCTTATCTGCCAAAATAATGATTTTTTAAAATAGTCCCATTAATTAAAATAATTTTTTAAAAACAACAACCAACAATATTTTGGGCAGACAAAATATATTTGTAACCTTAATAAAATCTAATACAATGAACTTTATTTGCAAATTTTTTTACATTTTGTTTTTCATTGACCTAATTTGCGCACTATATCGATTTCGATTGTGTAAAGTTAAAAAAAAAAAAATAAGCGTTAATCTTGAAAAATATCCTTCGGCATGATTATCATGCTCATGCGAAAATGAGAAAAAGGAAGGAAGGAAGGATAGAAAGAAAAATTAATTTTAACTTAATGTACACGTTAAAATGCATTATATTTAAATATATTATAAATTTAATGATAAATATGAAACCATCATATAGTAAGCTAAATATTTTATTTGTGTAAACTAACTACTTTTAAAATAGCTCGAAGCTGTCAAGTTAATAGAGAACCGAAAAGCCCCAGCGATTCCCCAAAACGATGAAATGGCCACTTACGATCCTATGTGGACCAAAGTAGAAAATTGTGCCATTAATTGGGATCAACCGGCTCAAAGAATACACGATTTTATTAGGGGGAACGATAAAAAGCCCGGTGCTTGGGCCGTTTTGGCTGATGAAAGTTGTGAGGGAAAGGTAGCCAAAATAATGATTATATTAGAATATCTCATTTTATTTGAAGAGACCAATGGAGTGAATTTTTATAACATTAATTGACAATTCCTTAAAAACGGAACTAATTGAAATCAGCCACTATTTTGAATACGTTTTTTGATAAATATAAATAAAAAGTAAGCGTAGTATTTTGTTAAATACCTTACTTTTTTGCTTAATTTTAAATATAAAATAGCAGAAGAAAAAGATGGATAAAAAAATTATTTTATAAAGCAGGAAGAATATATATAAAAAAATGAGCAGAATTTTATAAATAAAACATATAAATTTGAAATTATAATTTGAATTAATTATTTATTTTTTTAGCCAAAAAGGTGAATGAATTTATATAAAAATTCCTCGTCAATCGTTTAAATTTTTTTATGTATTTTTTACATTTATCTTTTTTTTTTAGCTGTGTTTTAAATATAAAATAACTACTCAATAGTTTTAAGAATTGCATAACATTTATGAGTTTTGAGATATACGAAACATGTCCCGAATCCATTAAATTTTCAAAAGTATTGTTAAATTCTCCATTTAAAATATTCACCTTAAAGTTGCTATTACACTACATAAATCTGTACTGTCTGATATATTCTCGCAAATTTTAATGATGAATTAAATTTTCACGATTCGTAAAACTTTTAAGAATCACAATTCGCGAATAGAAAAAATCATTTATGCCAATATTTTAATTATACATTAAAGATGGCTTATATTTTTTTTCCCGCAAAATTCGCATAATTTTTTTATATTTAGGAAATAGAAATGATCAAAAATGAAATATCTTTATTATAAATACAAAAATGTAAACTATGCCTTTTAAAATGAACACTATTTTTTTTAAAAAAAAGAAGATAATTGTGAATAAATATAAAAAGATTTAAATAAATTTATTTAAAAACAAATAACTCTAGAATTTCGATTTGAATCCTCTATTTTAAATAGAATTCAAGGGGATTGCTCTTTAAACTGTTGTGTTTTTTCCAATTGAATAAGGAAAGACGGATGCTAAATCTTGCTGAAAATTGCGCAATAGTAGTAGATAGTTTCGGTCTCCTTGGCATTTCATATTCTTAAATACGCGGTAGTCGCTTTCCCCGCGAGAAAGTTAATTACCGATACCTTATCTTTGTAGGGTTCTTGAAATGTCTCGGATCCCCGCCAGTCATATTCTTCTCAGCTGGAAAAACCTGACGGTGCAACTTCTACAGGTTGGGAGAACGATAACTGCTCTAAATAATTTTTCATGTATGAATATCCCACCAATCTTTAATAAACACGGGTTACATTTATGACATCTGAAGGTCAATCGCTTTTTTATTTGAAAGAAACTCATTGGTAGCAAGGAAGTCCACAGAATTCTCTCATTTAAAGCTGGAGATTTAAATCGAAAATCTCAAAGGGAGTTATATTTGTTTTGCCCATACCTATTCCCCTTAATTTTCCTTAAATGAATAAATATAGATGTTTATTTTTTAATATTTATAAATAATTATCTATTTTTAATAGTGCTCAATTTTATAGGAAGTGTATGCATTTGTAAATAGTGAAGGTCAACCAAAATGGTTTACCTTCACTATTTATAAATTATATATTTTAAATCTATTTGAAGAAATGATTCATTAATAAGAATAAATATGAAGTTTTGCAGTGCGTGTGTATATCTATTGATATAAATTTAAATATTTACAAAAAATATAAATTCTTATTATTGGTTTGTAGATCATTATAACAATTAAAGATCAATATTGGAAGATGCAGGGGCTTCTACATCCACCCCCTAAGCCAATGACAATATCGCCTTTTTTGAAAATCTTATCACTTATCCTCGTCCCAAATTTTTCCCCACCATATAAAAATCAAATTGCAGGTCTATAGTAAGAAGTCCCTGAGGAAGAGGTAATGATTAGCTCTTATTAATTTTTTTATCGTAAATGCTGTTATATTTCATTTTTTTAAAAAAACACTAAATTTTACAGGCGTAAATCCTCATTTCCTCATTTTAAAAATAAATAAATAAGAAATCCTCAGGCCACTTTTTTTTCAAAAACTCAAATAATTTATATCATATGTTTTAAATAAATCAGAAGATAAAAATAATAAAAAAAATTAAAGTTCAATCCATCTTACTACCATGCTAATGGAAATTTTATAAAATGGTTTTTTTTATAAATAAAACTATATTTAAAAATAATTCATAAATTTAAATGGATGGTTTATTTAATTCATGGTGTAAGATTAATATAGCGTCTCTTAAGAATTAGAACTGTGCCGATTCCACAAATTTTTTTTACATATCCCATCCTATATTTGAGATTGATGATTTTGATTTTTATCTTTGAATTTTATAATGCAAAAAAAACATATTTAACGTAAACTTTGAGGTAAAACAAGTAACTCTGAAATTTTTTCGTTTTTCATGAGGCCATATTTGGTGCATTATACACTATTAACGAATGATTAAGTGAATTTAATTTTTTATTTCTCCAAAAGATCCTATTCAAAATATTGGTAATGTTTCTATTATTAATGTTGTTTACTAACCCAATATTTTATCCAAAAATATTAGACAAGCTTGGAAAATTTTCTCATAGACAGCATGAAGGTTTGGACATCTATTAACGAAATCTCGAGGTGGCTAAAATCTTTATTTAAAATATCACCTAAATAGTCGTTTAGCAATACCTTTTTTGAAAAAAAAAATTATTGTTGAAAAATTAATATCAAATTTTTAGATAAAAAAATCATGGATGTGAACCCAAACCAGAACACTCTGAACCCTCATACTTTTGCTGCCCGAACCCCTTTTAGAAGTAGAAGGTAATATCTTAACATCAAAAAAGAAATCCAGGATACGAGTTGAGATTAGATTATGACCTAGATAATAAATAAAAATATGCAATATATCCAGGGTTGGCAATTCGGTCAGTTGACCGGTCAAATTCAATCAATTGATTGGAGGAGTATTTGACCTGGTCAAATATGGTCAACTCTAAAAATCTGAAGAAAAAAAATTAATAATATTTTTGGAAAAAGAAAAAAACGATATAAATATATTTGATCACATTGCTGCTTATTTACTGGGTTTCTAATAACAAGGGGAGCATCTTACTTGTAGGGAATTTAATTATGTATGTGATATAATACCGGAATTAGGCATTTTACAAAATCATAATATTTAAAGAGATGTCATGAATTTTAGAAATAAAAGCGGACTGTTTATAGCAAATTATGTAGAAAACAGTATAGCTTCCATAAGAAACAATCATATTCTAGCCTTAAGTTAGTGGAATAGGCTTTGTTCAACATGCCCATTAATAGAAGTGGCATTTTACTAACAATTTCTACTTCACTTCTTCAGAAAGAAATTGGTCGATTTGGGTTAATTATCTTACTAAAAGAGTAATCGATTGAAGATCTCGACAATAGGAAAATTGATTAAAATTTATTCAAGAAAATGATAATATTGAATATGAAACAAAACAAGATTCTGACACAGAGAGCGAAACATCAGTTATTGAATGGCAATGAATCAAAAAAATACGATAAAATTAATATTATAGATTCATTTTACTATTATATACAAAATATAGTTAATATTGTCTAAAAATTTATTTAAATTTTACCGTATTTGGTCATATTTGACCTGTGAAATATCGTTGACTGAATCATATTTGACTGGTCAAATACACAATCTTGAATATATCATTGTCTTTTGACTAAACTATGTAAAAGTAATCAGAATTTATGTATTATTAGGGTAAATTTATGATATATATTATTTATATTTACAATTCACTTCTAAGTATATGTAATTTTCCAAAACACAAAATCTGCATTATTTGGTAGTAAACCCAAGTGCCTTTCCCAGTTGCTACTGCACTCTGATTAGTGTTGTTAAACGGCTTTTGAGCTGATTTTTAAAAATGGCTAACTCAATATTTTAGCCAGAAAAACTTTAGGCAAGCCTGGAGATTTTGGTCATAGATGGCACGAAGGTTTGGACATCAATTAGCAAAATCTCGAAGCTTGCTATATTTTTCTGGTTAAAATATTGAGTTAGCCGTTTTTAAAAATCGACTCAAATCGAGTCTTAACAACACTACCTCTGATATAATATGATTTTAAATATTATCCGCCATTTTTTTTAGATTTTTAAGACAAACATGATTTCATCATTTGTCCTCTTTAACATTGCAACCAATATTTTTATAACCATGAATCCACACTCCCCCATAAACCATTGATAAATGTAACAAGGGTAGATATAATTATTATGGTAATGGAGAAAAAAAAACTCGACCAAGAAGACTGTGGAACCTGCCGGAAAAATAAACTGGGGGGAAGAACTGCCGGAAGAAAAACAATATAACGGAACCGGAACCTTCCTGGAACTTTCCTAAAAAATATATTTAAATTTTAATATATAAATAAATGAATTTTTATATAACTGTTAAATTAAAAGAATTTTTTTTAAAAAAAATGTAAATTTATCTTATTTGCTTCGATGTAATAATTGATTCATATTAATGGTTAAATAAAGATTAAATGAATAAAATGTGTTGATTTAAAAAAATATAATAAGTTAGATATTTTTTAGGAAAGTTGCAATGCCCTGAACGAAACTGGGACGGAACACTCTTTTTTAGCCGGAACGGAGCAGGGATGTAAAAATGCTGTTGATCCGGTTCCATAAAAAATGAATGCTAACCTCGTAACCTTTTTTTAGTGAAGATTATTGGCAAATTGTTTTGGAGGTTTTTCTACTATATAAAGAAAATTTGAAACTCTTCCTTGATGATTTTGAATAGAAAAATATAAATTAATTTATGCAGCATTATTAATTTATGTAATATATATTATTTAATGCAATTCACTTCTAAGTGGTAGTGTATGAAAACAGTCCAAAACACAAAATTTGAGGGGGGGGGGTGTCGAAATAATATCACCTTAATAAGCAGGAATCTGGAATGGATAAAATTTTCATTATTATATAAAAAAGATATAATTTGATAATTCTAATCATTAAAATATCTTCTAGTCTATATCGAAGGAAAGTATAAATTTTATTATATTAAGATTACAGAGGTCAAAATAATAATAACGGCCTCCGATAGTTTTGAAAAAATAGGCCAGTACAGTTTTTTTTCTTTTTTAGACCAGCAAAGATTTTTAAAATTTTACGATTCAGACCTGCAGGCTGATCTATTTAAGTATCATTTTCTAATATTGTATATTTATACAAAAATCGGGAAGAAGTGGATTTAGAGTTTTAAATGTTTTTAGTTAAGATTTTCTAAGGGTTAGGAAAAATGTCCTGAACCCAGATTTAACTCGGGACTCTTAAAATTTAAAAAAAAATTAATCATTAGGCTAAATTTCTAAAGGATAATTTTGGATTATTATATAATAAAATAGAGGAAACTATTGTTAAAATTTTTTTTATGTCAACTTATTATTAAAAGTCATCTCATCAGATTTAATAATGATAATATAATATCCGAAATTACATACAGTCACCTTAAAAAATTTTTCACCATTTTATTTATAAGATAATATTTTTCGTTATGTCTTTTTAATAATACAGATTGCCAGGTTTATTTACCGCGGTTTTTTCGAGAGTTTTTTTTCTACTGGCTTTTTTTCCGGGATCCAATTATTATACATATGATAATAGCATAGTTTAATGCATTTGGTACATACCGAATGCTTCATTTTTCCTTATTTAAAAAAACCTCGATTAATTTTATTACATTTTAATTTACAAATTTAACTAACCCTGCATTCACAGTTAGAGCGAATTCGCGGCGTGATATATAAAAAATACACAAAAATACAGCGTATTTATAATTCACCGCAAATTAGCGCCAGAGATTAGGTTCACTCTCAATAATGGTCATGATTAATTATTTTTGCAGCCATGGTATAATTCCTTTATTATTTTATAATTAATTAAAAATGACTAAATATTTATTTTTAGAATAAAACTTTTAATTTAAACAAAATTAAGCTGGTCCATAATATTATTATACATGAATATTATTTTAAATAAAATTTGGCTAATGGAGATATCATTTCGCATTTTTAAATGTAATCATGTGAAATATATAAGATTGAGCAATTTAATATTTATTTTATTATTTTTTATTTGGATTGCAGAAAATTACTTTTTATTCTTCGGTGTTGTGGAAAAGTTTTAAAGTTCCGGTTGGATCAAAGATGTCTCTCTTAAATTGCAAACGCCCTGCTATAATTCACGCCGACGGATTAATCGTATTTGGCAATGATGATAAAATGGTTTGATCTTTTTTGGTTATTATCATAAATAATAATAATATAAATCAATTTGAAAGCAAAGAAAACAACCAATGAGAAAGCTAGACTTATTAATATGGATTAGCATAATAATAGATTTTTATTGAATGCTGGATAAATGATTTGTCAATCTATCAGTTTGGCGCAATTAATATTTACGCATCCTTCCACCAAAAATCTTATATTTAAATGGGGGGGGGGTACCAATATAATCGATCTTATTAACTAACTGATATATCATATCTAATCTGGTGGCAAGGTAAACATCAAACAAGTTTCCCTGGACGGTAAACTCATGCCTAGCAATTCCCTGAAAGATCATTTAATAGAAATGGCTGACAGCGGTGTTAGCGAGACTTCGATAAATGGCGAAACGGGTTTAAGCGAAACTGAACTTGAGGTAAAATCAATGCTCCTCTTAATTTGGCAAAACATTTTGGGACAAACGAATTTTGAAGAGAATTTGGATTTTTTTGCGGCCGGAGCCGATTCTATGGACGTTATACGGTTATATTTACAATTTTTTGAGAAAGTTTTACGTTAATCAAAAAATATATATTCGGTGAGTTTTAGTGATAGATAAATTGGAAATATTCTCCTTATTTATATATTCCTTTATTTATTAAAGATTAACTGAAGAAATCAAAGACAAATTATCTATAGAGCTGATAAATGAAGACATTTACATGAACCCAACATTTAAAGAATTCGTTAATTTCGTCACTTATAAATCTAGAAATAGTGACAGCTGTAAAAAGGGCCTAGACATTGAATATGACCCGGTATTAATTACTTTTTTTTCAAAACAATCACTATTCATCAGCCTAACATATACAATTTAAAAAATGTTTTTTTTAATATTTATATATAATATCCATTTGAATTTAAAGTATAATTTCCTTCCTCATCCATTTTTTTTTCTCACAAACAATTCATTCAATTTAAAAAAAAAAATCATATTCTAAAGATCGAACTTGACATCAACGATCTCCACCTAAAATTTCCCCATCAATTATACATTAACGGGGAATTCGTAAATTCCCACGATGGGTCCGAATATTACACCGTAAATCCTTTCGACGAATCGATAATATGTACCGTGTCCGAGGCTACCAAAGAGGACGTTACGAATGCAGCTAAGGCGGCTCATGTTTTTTAAATAAATAAATATTCTAAAATATGTTTAAAAAAAAACAAACCCACGAAAATTAATTTAAAATTTCTCATGAAATATCAAAGGTTCGGGGATCGGCCTGTTTAGATTATTAAACAAACAAATATTATATTTGTGATAATAAATCAAAGGATGCATTTTACAAAGGCCCATGGGGTCAATTGAACTCTCGCGAAAGAGGAGTACTACTCTACAAACTAGCTGACTTAATGGAAAGCCACAAAGAAGAGCTTGCAAGTCTCGAATGCATCGATTCTGGTGCGGTGTATACCGTAGCCCTTAAGACTCATGTGGGGATGAGCATCGAAACTCTCAGATACTTTGCTGGTTGGTGCGATAAGATTCAGGTTTTGCATAGATGAATATGCTATATGGCGTTTTTTTTAAAATTAGTAAGATTTTTCGATTATAAATAACTATATTTTACAATTTCAACAATAACTTTTGGGTATTAAAAATACTTTGAAAATTTTTTTTCTTGTTTTTGAAATTCAAATTCATTTGATTTCCAGAGAATTATTCACGTATTACTATTTACACTTGTGCACCATTATTATATCAACTAAATATTATCAGGGTAGCACCATACCTATAAACAATGCCCGTCCCAACGCCAATTTGACTTTTACCAAAAAGATTCCCATAGGAGTGTGCGGTATTATTACCCCTTGGAATTACCCTTTGATGATGCTCTCTTGGAAAATTTCGCCTTGCTTGGCCGCCGGTAATACCGTGATCGTTAAACCTGCTCAAGTTTTTGAAGATTTTTTTTATGGGGAACGATTAATTGTTGAAAAAGGGAAAAAGATTTTTTTTTTTTAAATTTAATTTCCATTTTTAAGATAATGCTCGTCATTCCATTTTCTGGTTAAAATGTTCTGTATAATGGAAGCGCTTGCTTCTTGACTTCAATCAATAAATTTTTAAACCTTAATTATTCTCGTTAAATTAATTTTTTTATAGAATTATTTTTGAATTGTCATTTATTTAATATATGGGCTAATGGGATTAGTCCAATTATATATGTGAGAAATATTTAATAAAATCTTTTGCTCAAATATTTATAGAACTATTACATTTAAAATATTCATATTTTTATATAAATAACTTTCATTATTTTCCTTCCTTCTTTACTTACTTCCTCCTATTTTTTTCAATTACTTAAAAATGGAAATTTAATTTTTTTACTTCCTCCTATTTTTTTCTATCTTACTCCAGATAGTTTATAAAATTTCTAATTGGCTTATAAGAATCCTACTATATTCTGTATTTCAATAAAATTAAAATAAAAAAGTAAGAGAATTTTGTCGAAAGATTTAGCATTTAATTATACGGTTTCTATTTGGCTGATTCTTTAAGCCGTACGTGCCCTATTCATAGTATTAACATTTTTTTATAAATATTGCTGGGTTACTAATGGTTTTTGAAAACGCTGAGCATTACTTCTTCACAACATATACTGCTTACGATCGTTTGTTGTTGTTTCCAAGTATTTGGGGAGAAATGTTGTCACAAATTATTGCCTTATCACCTTGAATAAACTAATGAAAGAATTTATTTATAGGTAAATCGGGGATATTCGAGAGGTAAGAGATGGAATATTAATATACGTCTTATTTTAGTGAAAAGAAATATATACGTATAAAATTATTTGTAAGGATATTTTCCAAAAACTATTTAAAGGCATTCCTTTCGTTAACATTCAGTCGAAATCTCCAACATTTAAATGATGGAAGTTTAATAAAATTTCATAAATTATTGAATTATAACAAGTATATTTTAATACAAGATGTTTTTACATTTGCGTTTTTTTAAAAAATGTTAGGTTACTCCTTTGACTGCCCTGAAATTCGCAGAGCTTTCACACCTAGCTGGCTTTCCAAAAGGTGTCATCAACATCTTACCAGGATCAGGTAATAAAAGTTTCTAATAGAATACATGAAATATATTTTTTAAATTTTAATATAATATAAAAGATTAAATAACTTTTTTTCAGGTAAAATTTGCGGCGAAGCCTTACTCAACAATCCACTGATTAGGAAAATTGGCTTTACGGGGTCTACCGATATAGGCAAACACATTATGGAAAGGTATAAAATTTACTTTCTTTATTATGTATCAGAGCCATATTATAAAAATTCCTAAGTCCATAATAAGTTACAAAAAATTTTCCCAAGCCAATATCCAAAAGTTTATTTTATTTAATGGATATTAACAATATTTAAGATTAAGTGTATATAGGCAATTATTTTGTTCACAATACTGAAATTTATTATTATTAGAAGAAAAAAAATTACAATATTTTTTTAAATTAGTAAAATTTATTATTATTAATAAAAAAAAATTACAATATTTTTTAAATTAACAACTGTTTTAATAAACTCAAGTTTAAATAAAAAAAATTTCCAGACCAAGCCCGCTAGAAATATAATATTAGGCCACGGGCAGGCTAAGCCTATGAAGGTCTCTGATATGTTATGAAATTTAAAGAAGTAAAGTAAAAAATAAACCACAATACTTATGAGAAATATAATAAATTAATCGTCATTTCCTTATTTCGTTATTCATTCCGTCGAAATTATTTTTGTATGCCTAAGATTTAAATATGTAGCCTAAATTTTTGGCAATTTTCCTGAAAACTAAATGGCGCGAATCTAGATTCTAACTCCCAAATCATATGGACATCGTTCATATCCTTAAAACCTCAACATTTATTTTTATATTTCATAATATATATATTTTTTTAAACTTTTGTACACAACAGTTGCGCGAGATCGAATCTCAAAAAATGCTCATTGGAGCTGGGAGGAAAATCACCACTAATCATACTCGCTGATTGTGACATTGATAAAGCTGTTAAATTGGTAAGGAAAAAAAAACATTTATTATAATATTGCATTTTATTTATCTTATTTTATTCTTAATTTGAAGAGTTATGAACCTAATTTAAAAAAACCCTATGCAATAGTTGATATCCTTTTTTCATTAACTTATTAAATTTTTAACGGAAATACTTATTAATTAATATTAGTGATCTGCATCGGGCCTAATTTTTTAAGCCCGGCCCGGCCCGAAATCTTTTTTATAAAATTTTGCCCGGCGCGAATATGAAATTATTTTCAAAAATTTTGCCGGCCCGGCCCGAATTTATTTAAATATAGAAATTAATTTTCATAATTACTCCAAATAAACGATATTTGCTATATGGCGTCTACTTTCTATAAATAAGATCACATATTTTTATATCACATAAAAAATTCAACATAAAATTGATAAATTTAGATATATTTTAAAAAATTTCTAAAGCCCGACCCGGCCCGAATTTTCATAAAAATACTGGGCCGGCCTACTTTTGCAGATCTTTAATTAATATCACATCTCACTAGAATAGGGTAGTTTTATATAAAATTGATGTTTTTGATATTTAGTAGGCCAAATGTTTTTCCCAAAAAATTCTGTCTCAGCTTGTGGAAAAATGGCCTAGTTACTAACTGAGCTTAAAAAGTACTGCATAGAGGTTAGCGGTAGAAAGGGCGCGCACTCTAAAATTTTGATCCATAAAATCTTTAACACGATTATTTGGCATCACTACATTTCGGCGTGTTATATTTCTGAGCAACGTCATTTCGTCGCATTTATTCAAAAGTATTTTTTTAAAAAAAATTTTCAATAAATGTTGGCAAAAAATTTAAAATCCTTGGTAATGGGCTACTAATCAATATAATCAAACAGATGGTTATGGCTGCCCCGTCGCATCGGAAATTGGTCAGATAAATTTAGATATGCGAAACAGCCATGAGTATCTGATTGAATTTTACCGAAACTAAGTTATGAATGATCGATGTAGGGTGGGTCAGGCTGGTAGATATATTTCTACACAAGCTAGGCATGGGTTATGGCTAGATGCATGCGTTAGAATAATATTCATTAATCAAATATAAATTTTTTTGCTTATTTTCACTGAAACTATGGGGTGGGTCCTATAAATCTCATCTGAATATTGAAAATTTAAAAATGTTTTTTACCCATTATCGCGCCAACCCTGATTGTCTATTATAGCTTGATTTACCTCAATTTTTATATTTTTTAATGTTTTTACACAGTCATTGTGCGCCGAAATGTCGTGTAACCTATTATTTACGAACTGAGATGTGTGACTTAAGGGTTCATGGAAATTCATTAATAAAGGGGAATAATGGACCTAACATTAGATAATCGAAAAATATGAATGTTTAATTTTCTCCCAATTTCAGCATTGTGATTAATATTTAGGGGATTTAACACAACATTTTACATTATATTTTTTTATACAAGAAAATTTTCCGTTCTATCTTCTCTTTATAACTAATTCGATAATACAATTTATAATAAGGCTATCAGTAGTACAATGTTCAATAAAGGTGAGAACTGCATAGCAGCAGGCCGCATTTTTATCGAGGAACCCATATATGATTCAATGATTAGCAAGTTGGTAAGTATATTCTCCTTTTTTTTCAAATATATATATAGAGACTGAAAAGTGTTAGTCCCCAAAGACAAACGTCAATAAGATTAGAAATACTGTCAATCAATTTTAATAAAAGACATGTCATTTTATTCCTCTTATTTAGTTCTATAAGAGGATTAAATTTTAAGAAAAAAATATACTTTTTGACATATTTTTTTACTCGGGGAGGGTTTAGTTAAAACTCTGCAATGAGGAGTTTTTTAACACGACTGTTTGCCCATTGTCTTAAAATTTTTTAATTTGCCCACGGTTTTTAAAAAAATTACCCACCTGCCTATGATTGGTTGGACGTTTTATGATATATGTTTCAAACTTGTAAAATGTGCAATATTTTGAAATAAGCAATTAATTTTTAATTAATAAAAGTCCATCCTGCTCATTCCTCCAGTAAAAAAATTTAAAATTCACCAATGCCCCCCCCCCTTTGTAGAGTTAGACTTTGCTTGGGGCTATTTTGAGGACTCAAAGTTTGATCATTTTTGAATATAAAAATCATATCTTATTTATAATAGAAAATATTTTATTTAAAAGATGATAAAATTTGAAACCATAATTTCTGACCATTTTATTTATTATAAAATTGGGTGTGAAAATTGAGTATTTTACCTCGTAAGCTATTATTTTAAAAATATTTTACTGGTTTGAAATGCTTTATTTGAATTATACTTTACGAGGTAAAATACTAATTAAAACATGCATAGATCTATAAGAGGTTAGGATTTAAACACTTCTGATTTTTAAGCCCGGCTCAGATTTTTTAAAATTGAAATATTTACGGCCCAGACCTTCAAGTCTCTGATACATGCATTTATCAAATTTATTAAATATTATATGAAAATATTAATGGAAATTACATATTTTTCTCTAATTAGTCCTCCTAAATAATTTGGATAATTTAAACAAATAAGATAGGTTAACATTATACATAATGTAACCCTTTAATTTGGTAATTTAGAAAAAAAATTCAGAGCTCGTTATAACCTCAAACTTAGTTTACTATAACCTAGATCTCCACTATTAGTGTTGTTTACGGCTCGATTTTTATAAACGGCTAACCCAATATTTTAGCCAAAAGTATTAAAGCCCTCATAAATGGCAGAAAATTTTGGAAACCAAATCTTGAAGCTTGCATAATATTATTTTGGCTTAAGTCTTTAAAATCGGCTAAATAGAGCCGTTTAACAACAATAGTTCCCACCTCTGTTTTCCCTATTAAACCCAAAGTTTAATTGAATTATATGGCTTTGAATGATAAAAAAAGTGTTAAATTATGAATCAAACAGATCTAAAATATTTTTTAAGATCTCTATAATTTAAACTAGGGCTCATAGAGATTTATAAATAGGGTTTTCTGCCCGGGTCCGTTATAATTTTTTTATAAAAGAAATAGACACAACATTTTCTATCAGTTTAAAAAAAAATTACGTCAAGCTCGGCCGTTAAGACCAGGCTGATTTCTAATTTTAACCACTTGACGATAAACATAGTTTATGAAATAATTATAATGGTTCATGAATACCAACATAATATTTATATCAAATATTATAATTATTATGTTCCAAAATTATATTGGTAGATTTTATTACTCTTTTTATTTTCTAAAGTATAGGCTAAAAATTAATATTTAAATTTAATTTTACTATTTTGTCACATAGGGTATTATTTACCATTTCTAATTTAAATATTTCAATTTAAAAATTTTAGTCAATAGTAAATAACGGGTTGAGTAAGAAGAAAAGAAAGAAAGAAAAATTAAAAAAAAATTGCTATGTATAAAAATAAATAGAAAATTAGCCTATCGCTTAAAAGTTAAACAATCAATCATCTTAAAAAAATTTGCCAAATATATTATAAAGTTTTTTCAATTATTATATTAAAAATATATCTATGAATATTAGATTGAAGCTGCAGCTAAAATAAAAATAGGTGACCCTTTTGATAGATCATCTCAACACGGTCCACAGAATCATTTGTAAATTAATTTTTTTTTTATTAAATCATTTATATATTTTATAACAAAAATTTCTAAATGAGATTTAAGAAAAAAGTAAGGATACACCTACTTAAGTTTGAATATTAGTATTACACTAAATTGCCTAACAATAAAATTTACGCTTTTAACGAAAAAAATCTATAAATTTATTTTTCATTTATATTTTTTTGTATTAATCAAAAGGAGACATTTGGAAAAGCTTCTAGATTACATACAAAGGGGCATTTTAGAAGGTGCCAAATTAGTATACGGTGGTAAACGTGTGAATTTACCCGGTTATTTCCTCCAACCTACTATATTTGTGGACGTCGACGATCATATGTTTATCGCGAAAGAAGAATCATTCGGGCCGATCATGATAATCTCCAAATTTAAAACTAAGTAATGCTAAATACGATGTGATTTGTTTATTTTCAGCACGGTTGAGACGGGAAAATGTTTGTAATTCGTTCGAATCTGCCCAAATTATTTGAAAAGATGCTCAAAACATAAAACCCAAAATACAGTTTGTATTTTATGACAGTAATTAAATTATTTTTTCTTCTTTTTGAATGAGGATCACGTCTAGAGTTGGAATGATTTAATCAAATGGAATTAAATTGCGATATAAATTAAAAAAACAATTATTTTTTGAATAAAAATCACGATTTAAAATAAATTTTCTTTTTGCTTATAATTTTAATAAATATTAGTTTTTAATTTCAAATAAAAACATTTTTTTATACATAGTATAATTTGCATATAAGTTGTAAGTTGTTAAAATTATTTTTAAATATTAAAAAAATTATGTTTTTCCCAACCCTAATCAGGCCTGAAAACAGTTAAAGCGGATCATATAAAAACCAGTATAAGACGGGTCTTTTATGTTTTTTATATTTTAGAAATTTCTTCTGGTTATGTTTCAAGCACAATTTAACTTGGCTTATAATTATATTTATATTAAAATATCATTCATTCATATGCCTGATAAATCATTATTATTTATTTATTTTAAACAAATGCTAATTTGTTCAAAGAGGTGCTTGGGTGTGAATCATGGGGACTTGATAGAGCATATCTATTCCGTTTTTTAGCCAAGAGTTTATTAGACAGCTTGTATTCTTTTATTAGAAGTCCTGTTTTTTTTGTGTCAAGATCTCCTGCTTAGGAAAATATTTGTCGACAGGGAATAGATGTTACTAGTTTTGCTAAAAAAATCAGCTGTTAAACTGCCGTAGCGCGCTTCCTTTTTTTGTTGCGACGCGCTACTTTTTTTGCCAAATAGTCATTGTGTTAGCGCGCTACTTTAAAAAAATATAACGAAAATAACCATAAACATAAAAATAATATATATATTTTCATAATTACTTATAAATTATAATTTTTATATTTTATTATTTAAATTTGAAATTTATATTCTTGATTTTCAATCCAAACTAACTAGTGTAAAATATTATAAATGTCTACATTAATAGATATAGATGTAAATTGAGTCAGACACAGATCATATTAACATATTAAAATGGAAGAAGATAGATAAAATTTTCTTTTACAAAATTTGAAAAATATTTTAAACTTAATGGAAAAACAAAAGTTGGCTGTAAACTAAGGTATTTAAAGTGTGGGAAAATTATATCCTCTGATAAAATAAGTTTTAAAGTATACATGCTAATTTGTAATTCCCACTATTTTTCATTTTAGATACTGTCTAAATCTTGCTTGTCATATTCTATTTTATTTTGGGAATTAGATATATATAAAAAATTTTTATCCTTGGATCTAACAAATTTAACAAGATTTTTAACAATGATTTCACCATATATTTGTTAATTTTTGTTATTTTTTCTTATAATTTCATATAACATGGAAATGCTAACTTCATCTTAAACAAATGAAAATAAAACCAAAGTATCAATTGATTCACAGTCATTTTTAAATTGTCAGGAAAACACTAGATTTATTTGGAAATTATATCCTATAAAAAATAATAAAGTGAATATTCTGAAGTAACTATAGATATAGAAGATGATATAATTGAACTAAATACTTTTTTGAATGAACTACTTGTTTCATTGAAAAATTATATTATAATATGGTGGAAGACCAATAGCATTAGGTCTTTATTATTTTGTAATATGTATGAATATTATTCATCAAAAATTCTTACGGTTCTCACTTGCTACTAGAATTTATTTTAGCAATACAAGCAAAATATTTCCCCTGTTAACAAATATTTCCCATTAAACAGTACAAGCTAGCATGTGTATAAACTCTTAGCTAAAACAGATTATATATGCCTATCCATATAGGTCATTCTGATCTAATTTCAAGCACCTATATTAACATGGATATTAACATTTATTTTTAAAAAAATCCCCAATAATAAGTATCTTATCATTTATGTATATGCTCAAGTTAAATAAGGGAAAAAATAAATTAGATAAATGTTTTGATGTATGCAGTCTTTACCAATGAGAGGGCCTTAAAATGTGAATCTCTCAATTTTAAATGATTAGCTGAGAGCTATGTTTAATTATTATAAAATCGAAAATTTATTTCATCGTGTGTTGAGTACCTATCATGCGAATTTTAGATAATTCTGCCGTGACCTTTTAAACTGCTTCCAATTTATACTAATTTTTAATTGTTAAGTTCTTGGATTGGGGATACTCTACATATGCTGGAAGAATACCTTTCCGGTTGAAATTTCACACGGCACATAAAAAATTTTTATACATTCTGAATTGGAAATACATTTTCTCAAAATAAATTATAAAATATTAATTCCTTACCTAATATTTTGTTTCAGCGACATAGATAACGTGTTGAATCGAGCCAACAAAACTGAGTATGGGTTAGCATCGGGCGTTATAACTAATAATATAAGCCGCGCCCTTTACATCAGTGATAAATTGCAATCGGGAACTGTATTCGTTAATACCTACAATAAAACAGATGTCGCTGCACCATTCGGCGGCATAAAACAATCTGGTTTCGGGAAAGATTTAGGTTTTAAATAGAAGCATTTTTTAACACATAATTATAGAATGCATGTTTTTATGATGAAAAGGGTTTATATGCTTTTATATATCAATCGCTAGATAAATCATGCAAGATCTAAGATAATCCTTTCAAAAAAAGTATTGTAAATTATCCTATATAAAAACAACGTTTAAATTGCCTTTTAGAAATTTTGTTCAGATTAAGGGAAAAATGGAAGGGGGGAGGAGGGGTTATAAAAATAGATTTGATGAGAAACCTTAGAATCATATAAGTTTGACTTTGGGTGTTTGGCTATTTTTTTTTAAAAAAAATCCGATAATTTTAAAAATAGTAATAGAAAATTATTCAAGTTAAGTAGGGAAAAAAAATTTAATTAAGATAAGAAATAGAGGGAGACAGAAGATATTTAATGCGTTTATGAAGGACTTAATAGAGAAGGAAAGTTATAATAACATGTATATTAGTTTGCCATTAAATCATAGTGGTGTTAAAAAACATTAACATGATATTATTATTAATTCACAATCAATCTAAGTGTAATTAAAAGAGTTGTCAAAGTAACTATATCTAAATACAATGTAAAAAGGTATCAGTATCTAAATACATTTTTTGGGATATCTAACATGTATATGAGTTTGTCATTCTAATGAACTGCCTTAAAGTTCTTGATTTAAAATTTACAAAAATAAGATTCAGAGTGTTATTTACATTTTATTTTTTATGGATAAAAAAATTAATTAAAGGTGAGGACGCCTTGAAAGAATGGCTCAACGTTAAAACGGTGACAATAGAATATTAAAATGTAAAAGGTTCTCTTGGAAATAATTAATAACCGGTCCAAAACATTATTTTTTTAATGAATCCTTTTTTAAAAATTATTAATTTCAATTTATATAATATTTTAAACCGGTATTTTTTTTATAAACAATTCATATTTTTATATAACAGCGATTTTATAATTAGGGAAATTTACAAAAGGATTGGTTTAAATTGTTTTTTTATATAATTATCTCTATTTTCTACTTATTTTTTTTAAACTTTAATTATATTTGTTATATATTGTGAGCAATCTTTTAAAGAATATTATTTTAGAATCAAATAAACTTTTTAAAAAATATAATTTTGCTTATATCTAATTAATGATTAATATGATAGTTCTATGTTTTATGGGAATTTTTTTTTAAAATGGAATATTCCTGCCGGGGCATGCTGATCTCTATTTAAAAGTGAAATATTTATATGCCACGCATTAGAAAGTGTATCAACGATAAAGAATGGGATTGTCCTTAAGGAAAAACTCTTAATCGCGTCACATTATTTAAGAGAATAACTTTTTTTAAAAAAATAGTATCTTCTAGTCTAAAAAAAACTGAATAAACGGATCTGAATAATACTCTGAAATTGATAAATAGATCTGAATAATATTCTGAAATTGATAAACGGATCTGAATAATATTCTGAAACTTTAATACAAATTCTTTATTTATTCTAAAAGCATAAAAATATAATATTGTAAGAAATTTTCCCGAGAAAAAAAAAATAAATATAAAATCCTTTTTTTTCTCTATCATTGCAATCTTCATGATTGACATTTTACATTAACAAATGAATTAATATTATAAAAATTACAATAAAACTAGGACATGTCACCCCTTTATGGGCGTAACAGTCACTAATATATAAAAAAATTTACATATACTATATATATACTACGTACTATATCACTATATTAAAATTGAATTTCTTACTATTTTAAATTAATGAACATCTAAAATTGTAATATGTCCGATTATTTGTGGGTATCCATTATCATACTTTCTTCCCACATTTTTATTATTCTTTCTTGAGTTTTACTGTCAACATTTTGTATCTGTAACGTTTCTATTGGCGGAATTGATGTTGATTCATCAGTACTGAATTTATTGTTTGTCATTGTTTCTCTTTGTTTCTTTATATTTTCAATTGATTGTTGAGTTTCATTAATTCTTTCTTTACTATCATTGTATTTATTCCTTTTTTTAATTGTTTTATTCTGAATGTTGTTTCTGTTTATATATCTAGGGCATTGATGTATCAAATGGCTATCAGAGTTGCATTTGAAGCATCTTTTTGGCGTCATTGCCTGTGGTATTGTTGGGGTTATCAGTTGAGTTGGTCGGGTTTGCATTGTGGAAGTGGAAGCTTCAAATCTATCTAGAATCATTCCACTCCTTTTTGGGATAAGAATCACTTGGAGATAATGTGTGTCAAAGTCCAATAACTGACTGGTGGTATTCATTTCAATTTTTAATTCTTTTTTTTTTTTTATCTTTTTCCCTAACAAAATAACAATAATTTTTTCTCTCAAAAAAAATTTTACTTTCAAATTACCAAAAAAAATTTATGAAAATTAATGAATAAAAATTTGAAAATGTAAAATTTAGGAAAACACTTTTTTTATCCTATTACCAAAACAAGTAATAACATTATTTATTTTTTTATTTTTCTATCTACATCTTTTCATTAATAACTCATAATATTTTACTTTTTACCCTTAACACATCTTTCTGTTTATTTTATATTTGTTAAACATATATGTTAATTACTTCGACCATTATCTTTAATTTATTTTTTTTTTAAATTTTTATCTTTAACGGATCTTTTTATTTCTTTAATTCATACATATGGTCTTCTACACATTTGATTTTTACCATTTCTCTTTTTATCTATGTTACACATATAATAATCGAAAGTTTATAAAACTAATATATTTACAACTTCGGACATTTATTAATTTACATTTGTGTTTTAAATCCACATGTGCTAAGTGTTTTGTAATTGTTAACTTTAATTTTACAATTTACTTATCTACATTCCAGAGTTTTAACATAACCAGTCTTGATAACTTGACTTAATAATATACTAATAAAAACGTCTTGATACAATAAGACACAATACTTTCAAATCAGATTTTATTTTATCAAATAAGTATTTTTGTAAAAGAATACAAATTATAAAGTGTCTCAAATATTAAATATTTTTATGTTGAGTAAATTGCAAGAAACTAAGACATGTATTAATATTTTTATGTTGAGTAAATTGCAAGAAACTAAGACATATATGAATATATTTTTTTTTAAATATTAATTCTCATATTCTAAGATCTCACTCTTAAATGATCATGATGCCTAATGATCATCACTCCATTATCTAAGTTAATTTTACTTAATTTGTATCCAATTATGGTGACAATAGTTCCTTTGGCCCATTTCTTTTGTTTATTATCAAATAATCTAGCCCAAATTTTATTTCCTACCTGAATTTTTTTATTTATATTCTCATCTGGTACTACTATACTATGGCTCTTCGGTTTTAAAAAATCCAGTGGCCCTCGAGTACGTCTACCTAAGAATAATTCTGAAGGTGAGATTCCCTCCTTATTTCTAGAATTAAGGTAATATAAATATGAAATGTAAACCTTTTCAGTAAGTTTTCCTGCCTTTTTAATCCAACATTTAACAATTGCCACCATTCTTTCAGCTTGTCCATTCTAGCTGGGATGATATGGTGGAGCAAGAATATGTTTTGTTAGTGTTTACAAAGCCTTTTAAATTGCTCACTTATGAAAGCAGGACCTCCATCTGATACTATCGTATCTGGTAAACCATAACGAGCATATAATTCTCGTAATTTTTTAACAACAATCTTTGTGGTATAGCCATGCACTTCGACGTATTCTATCCATTTAGAATATGAATCTACCACCAAAAAGTAAGTTTTTTTATTAAGATCAAAGAAATCAATGTGGAGTCTTTCCCATGGTTTCTTTGATTTAGGCCATATCTGTCCTACCTCTTTGCGGGGCATAGAGGCACAGGTATTACAAGGGACACATTTCCTTGTAATATTTTCAATATCATTGCCCATACCAGGCCACCATACATATTCACGGGCCCAAGATTTCATTTTGTCCCTACCTTGATGTCCAGCATGTAATAGGTCAATAATTTTACCCCGTAATTTAAAAGGTATTATAGCTCTATTACCTCGCATTAAACAATCATCTACCACAGACAATTCTTTTTCTATTTTTTTATTAATTTTAAAATTATTTCTCCACGGTTTTTTACCGGTTAAAAATAATTTGATTTGGTTCAATTCTCTATCCTTTAAAGTATTGGATTTAAGATCTTCCCAGTTTGTGGGACCCCCTTTTAGCATATAAGAAAGGGAATAAACCAATGCGTCTTCCTGATACTTTATCACATTACTATTAAGGTCAAGATCTAATTCATTCGATCCCAACCTAGATAAGATGTCGGGTAGACAATTTTCTTTACCTCGCCTATATCTAATTTCCACATTAAAACTTCCCACTAATAACAACCACCGTTGTAATCGTGGAGATAACATTAACTCTCTGTTATCTTTCTTAAATAAATGAATTAAGGGTTTATGATCGGTATAAATTGTAAATTTTTTCCCGATCAAATATTCCCGACATTTAGTTAATCCAAAAATAACAGCTAAAGCTTCCTATTCAATAACAGAATACCTCGTCTCAACTTCTCGAAAAGAAAATAATTGGTCTCTCCAAACCATCAATTATAGGTAATAAAGCACCTCCAACACCTTTATTGGAGGCATCTACCGCCAAAATTATTTCAAAATCATTATTAAAACATACTAAAATTGGCTCCTCACCAATTTTTTTTTTTAAATTTCGAAAGCTTCTTGTTGTTCAATTTTCCAATCAAAATGAACACCCTTTTTTAATAAATCATACAATGGAGAGGCAACTTTTGCAAAATTTTCTACAAAGCGATGATAATAATTTATCATACCCAAAAATGATTGCAATTCCATTTTATTGGTGGGAGGCTTCATATATGTTATATATTTTAAATTTTTTTCAAGAGGTTTCACCTCCATTCCATTAATCTGATGTCCCAAATAAGTAACTTCGGTTACTCCTCGAACACTCTTTTCTTTACTGGCCTTTAATCCCTTATCACGAATTCGTTTAAAAACTTCCTCCAAACGCTGATTATGTTGTTCCCGTGTTATACCAGTAATCAACACATCATCCATATAATAAAAGACTCCTTCCATACCTTGGAACACTGATGCCATGGTACGCTGAAATATCAGCCCTGACACACTTAATCCAAAGGGTAATCTACAAAAGGCAAATAAACCTTTAGGAGTCGTTATCGTTAACAATTTTTGAATTTCTTCCTTTAATGATAACTGCAAATAAGCAGACGAAAAATCCACTTTGGAAAAATATTTGGCACCTTTTAAATTGGCCAAAATTTCCTCCATCCTAGGTAAGGGGTATTTAACATCAACTACCCATTTATTTACGGTTACACGGAAATCAGCACATAGCCTTAATTTCCCATTTGCTTTTTTAACTGGCACCAATGGTGTAGCCCATTCACTGTATTCAATGGGAATAATAATTCCATCTGATACCCACTTATCTAACTCTTCATTTATTTCCGTCTTCCATTCAAATGGAACCCTTCGACAAGTTAAGAAAATGGGTGAAAACCCATCTTTTAGCTTAACGTCCACTTTATAATCATTTAAACGTCCTAATTTTTCTTCAAAAATTATTTCATATTTTTTTTACTAACATATTTATATCATGATTAATTTTAAGTAATTCATTTTCTTCAAATTTTCTTAATTGAACTTTATCAATTTCACAATTTATTTGAGTGATATTTGTATCAATTTTTAATTTTTCAGGAAATTCAAGAAAATTACTATTAACAACAGTATTCTTTTCTTCTTTTAATAATTTCAATATTACTCTTTCTTGAATTAGAGGTTTGCCACTATCAGTTATTTATTTTTTCTCTAAATTATCTTCAGCTAATTCCTTGTCAATAATAAACAAATTCCAATAATTATTACGGGCCCCGATTTTTATAATCCAATCCCACCCCATAATAGTTTCTACATTTTTATCCACTATCCATAAATTCAAACATATATATGAATCATGGAAAAGGACATCCCATGTTTTACCCAAAACTTCAATTTCAGAACCATCGAATTGTTTTAAACACATATTTTCCTTTATAATATTGCCATTAGGCCAATATTTATAAAAATTTTCCCGAGACATTATTGAAATTCTCGCTCCTGTGTCAAACAACATATCAATATCCTTCTGGTCAATTCTCAATTTAACCCTAGGACACTGATATGGTTTAATCCATCTCTCAATCATTAAAATTTCGCAAATTTTGATAGGTTGATTCATATCTACCTTATCCGAAATATCAATGTTATTATAATCGAAATTATTGCATAAATTCAACTCGGAATTCAGTGGCTTATTAACAATATTAATACTTTTCTTAACAATATCCAGGGGATATTTTTCCCATTGGAAGATTTCAGAAGTGCATAAATTCAACTCGGAATTCAGAGGCTTTCTAATAATATCTATGTATTTTTTAATACTATCCTTTGGATATTTATTCCACTTAAATTCATGGTCAATTATATTACTTAAATTATTAAAAGAACTTTTTGTTCTTATTTTATCATTAGGATACACATAATTTATATTAAAATCATTCATTTTATGTGAATTATATCTCATTTTATCATTTTTATATACTTTCTTAAAATTTGATTTTGGTGGAAATTTTACTGATATACGATTGCATTTGCCATCATATAGTCAATTTACAGCACAATTCATAGCTATATGTCCCGTTGTTTTGCATTTATAGCATACGGGATACATCCTGATTTGAATATAAGGCATCAAATTTGTTTACATTATAACCTGAAATATTTCTCACGTTGGACTCTATAAAAGCTGTTTTTTTCAATGGGAAACCCACTCTAAAATTATACTCTTTTACTATGCATGTCTCGGCTTTATGGCCTTTATAACCACACCGATTGCACACAATTTCACTAATACTTTTATCCTTTGGAAAAAAAATTTTTTCATTGGAACCAATTTTACCACTCAACTGGTTTTTCTCACACTGGTTACTCAATTTATCTATATCACAACAGATCTTATTGAGTAATTCCCTCACTCCTTTCACTTCTTGGAAAATTTCCACTGATATCTCCTCACACGGATTGTCAGACACCACAACGTCTTTCATCCAATTCACGTATTTTGTCACTACTAAAAATACATTTTTTTAATACAAATTTCACAATAATAAATAATCCATAAATTATGATCAATAATACTATTGTCACTATAAGATTATTTATATCATATTGATTAACATTCTTATAAAGAATTTGATAACTAATATCCTTATAACTGGAAATTTTATTAAATATATTAGGCTCATAATCAAAACTAGGTAAAAAACCCATCTCATTATATACAATTTTATCTTACTGTACAATTATTTTTTAAAAAAAATAGTCTTAATTACAAAAAAATTTAAAAACTATTAAATCTAATTAATCTAGAAATTTACTTTTGCAAAATTTTAAATTATTTTATCTATTTCTACACAAAAATTTTACAAAAAAATATGAAACATTGCGTTGTGTTATCCAATCAAATAAAAAAATTCTTACCAGAATATCCAAACTGTTCTAGAATTTTCTTTTATAATGAGTGAATTCGTCACAGAATTATTATCCCTAAGAGTTTCGCGATCAATGGTCTTGCGGCAACAATAAAAAAAACTGAATAAACGGATCTGAATAATACTCTGAAATTGATAAATAGATCTGAATAATATTCTGAAATTGATAAACGGATCTGAATAATATTCTGAAACTTTAATACAAATTCTTTATTTATTCTAAAAGCATAAAAATATAATATTGTAAGAAATTTTCCCGAGAAAAAAAATAATAAATATAAAATCCTTTTTTTTCTCTATCATTGCAATCTTCATGATTGACATTTTACATTAACAAATGAATTAATATTATAAAAATTACAATAAAACTAGGACATAGTCATCTAATTAATATTTTTAAAAAAGGTACCTTAAAAAAAATAAAATATTATGTTTCCAAAAATGGACATAGGCGGTTAAAGACTATAATATAAAATTTTTGCATTTTTAATAACTCTAATATGTAAAATTAAATATCTATGATTAAAAAGGTATTAAACTAAACTCTAAGACAAAAGATTATCAGATTCGATATTATAAAAAAATTTTGACACCTATATGTAAAAAATTATCACGACAAAAACGATACATAGAAATGCCAAAAGTATCGCCGAATACCATAAAAACTGATTGAACACCATGTCGCCATATTTTAACAACTCTACCCTAGCCGTCCACTTAACCATGTAAGTTGACCCTAACTTCTAAAATTAGATATAAATGAATTTTATCCTAATTATTTTTAAAATAAAACGATTATTGAAATATACCCTGGGATTATGACAGCAATTAGTGCTTTTTAATTTTATTTAAATTTATAAATTCAATTAAATATTTCAACCCGGGCTTGCGTCTAAAATAGAAATAAGAACGGGTCAATCTTATTGACTTTGCAGGACTCTAGCCCACATCAGACCTATATAGCCTATATATACATAATTTAGGTGAAATATATTATCTCACTCTCGCCATTTTATATTAATTCCGCTAAAAACCTTTATTTTATTAAAATTTTGGCGTGCTCAAATAGACAATTTCTTGGTATGCTTAACCTAAATTTAGGTGTGATGAACCGGAGGCTTTCCTCTCCCTGATAATAACAGCACTTGTTAATATTAAAAGTAAACCAAAAGTAAAATAATTTTTCCCTTGCATACCATAAATCGAGGAGCAAACCCTAGGATCATTTTCTGCTCTTCTCCATTCCCGCAGCGGCTACGAATTTCTCTAGGCTTTTTCGCAAAATCTTGATCAACTCTTAAACAACGATGATCTATTTCACGCCATTGGTCTTAGCCTCAATTGCGATATGGTGATGCCCTATCACACTGTATTGTCAAACATCGGTCAACTCCAAAGGCCTTCACCCTTTGCAGTGGAAGCGTTGTAGAACCAGACAGATTCATTAGACATTTAAAATGCAATGATACTATAGTCAGGGCCTTGAAACCTACTGGCATTCCGTCAACACTCGAGTCCACTGCCCATTACAATTCCGATGGTAAACGGCCTGATGGTTCTAGCATGATCCCTTGGAAGAGGGGGGAATTCCTAACCCTCATGCATTGATCCTCTTACCCATTCCAATATAAATAGGGATGCTGTATTAGACGCCGAGCGAATAAACTCGCAAAATATTCACCATCGCTACCTGCCAACTATACATTCCTACCATTAATCGCTACGAATTTAACATCGTTCGGCTCTCATGTCCTGGCGTTTTTTAAAGAGTTGGGGCACCTGATATCTGCTAGGACCAAAGATCCCAACGATGGAACTACTTACGTCAGAGGTTGGTTCTAAACATAATAAAGTGAAATTATCTCAGCTGAATATCAATGACCGAAACCCCTGATTGAATATCCTGTGCTAGGGATAAGGCTATTTTGCTCCCAATTATAACATTGGCGCTAAAGAACTTGGATCTCAGGCGATAAAAAAAATTAATGACAAAGAAACACTAGTAAAGATGCGAGAATTTGAGAGAATCAGTGACCGCCAAAGCCAATGGTGCATTTTAGATGAAGAATTCACGGATTTTCGCTTAATTAAATTAATATTATACTAATTTTAATGTTAATTTTATCTCAAAATATTTTTATTAATAAATGAATAATAAAAATATAATATATATATATTCATTCATTGTAACCATGTTATTTTATTTGGCTCAAAAATATTGATAAATTGTTGCCATTAATTATATATATAAAAATATACTATTTTAAAAAAGTAGATAAAATATGAGGGTCAAGAAATAATCGATTATTATATAATTGAATATATTTTTAGGAAAATTTATGGCATCTGATGCCATGACATCGCTTAAATTTATTTATAAATTTTATTTGTTGTAAATTATGAGACGTTTTGGGATTGGCTAAATTGTTTAGTTGAAAGGGATCTTTGATTAAATCATAGCTCTCCGCCAGATTCTGTTGCAATATATAAAATTAATAATTTTAAAAATACTAAAATGTTTTTACATTATTGATAGAAAAAATTGAAGGTAAATAACAAGTCTTATAAACTTTACACAAAATTTTGATATCGATAAATTTGCACACTAACTTTTTTTTCTCATATTGTTTATAAAATTTTCTCCTCTTTATTGACTGCTTATATTAATTAATAAACTTACATTTATTTATTCCTTCTTAATTATATCAATCAAGAATAGTTCGAATTTTAGAATTAGCCTAATATTTCAAGTCAGTAGTGCCAGCATATAGGGTTAGATAATAACCAATCACTTCAAATCGACTATTATATATATGTCATATTGGGATGTGAAATCCATTGGGATTCGTAATCTATTTTATATAAATTATTAGGGCGAAAATCTGATTTGACCGGAAATATAATTCCAGCATATGTAGAGTATCTACTCTTTGAATTCGAACAATTTTTATCATTAAATTTTGTGTATTAATCAATTTATATGAGAAATCTATATGAAAATGAATATAAGTTTGGGGTATTTAAAAAGTTAACGGCAAAATTGCCTGAATTTCACAAGGTGGTACTCGAGTGGAATACATTTTCGGTCAAATCAGAATATTCTAAATAATCGCCCTAAAATAAAATATTCCGAATCCCCTTCCATATCCCAATCCCAATATGATGTTAATAAATTAAATAATTCTCACAATCCAAACTAGCACTGTTAATTAATGCTCTATTACAGTGTACATTTAAAAAGTATCCAATTCCTAATGATATAATAATAGATGTCACAATGTACTTATATTTTTGTTAATATAATAAATTGATAAATGTCATTTTTCAATTTTATTTAGACCTTTGTTAAACTGTCATTTAACTTTATAAAGGTAAATTAAGTGTTGAGAACAATTAACTTGATAGAATTTACCTCTTTATAAAAATCACAGTAGATATCATCCTTTTCATTGGAAATGGTTCTTATGCAAGTGTAAGCATTATTTGGGCTTTCTTGACATACACAATCTATGTCACACATCTAGCATAAAAAATCAAATAAATAATCTGAAAATCTGTGTAAAATAATATTTCAATAGCTTTAATTTTCTTTAAAATATTTATAAAAATACTCTTTCTCATCATTATAACTAACCGACAATCCTTTGGAGTTGTTTCCGTATTGTGGACACCCATGGATTGGTTTTGGTTTATATTCGCCCGAGTGTTCTATAAGAATCGAATTTCTTTTTGGGGGTTTATTTGCTCGAGCCAAACTCAATAAAGATACCCCGTCAAATTTATCTTTTTCGTATTCTATGTTCGCCATTTCCAACATAGTAGGAGCGAGATCTATATTTGAAACTATTTTCTTTGAACCCAATTTGTGCGTATAAATTAGCGTTATTTTTAAGGCAAAGGTATAAGAGAGAAAGGAAAATATAAAAAAATAATGATTTAATTTGAACAAATCTAGAGGTAAATACATGTATTTCAGTTTGTGTTACTCCAGGACCACTTATCATTAAAGGTATTTTAATATCGAATTCGTATGGTTGTCGTTTATCGTAAGGTAAGCCAAATTGTCCTTAATAACATTAATAATATTTTATATAAAATTTAAAACTATTTTTTGTATAAAAACAAGTGACATCACAAAGGAATGACAAAGGTCTAAATTAAATTGATACATGATAAAATGTTCGCAAAGGTCAAAATTTGGCCAGCCCATATAGAATTCAAAAGATATACGTTGTGATTTCCAGAATCACATGAATTTTAGCATGGAGGATTTTATTTTACAGTGTTGACCAGATTTGATGGAAAACACTTCCATATTTTTTAATTTATTTGAAAATATATGACTTTCAAAAATTTGTTAAAATAACATATTTATATATTCTTATCAATTTCTCAAGTTAAATAATATTTATAAAAGAAATAAAAATTATGGAAATGTTTTCCAATAGACCTGTACAACACTGTAGCATATTTTTACTTATTATATGTCGCGTAATAGTGTTATTATTTTTGAGGTATATTATATGAAGGGTCTATAAAGATAACATGTAAACGACCTGTGATAATTGACTGGCGTTGTTAAGAAGATGATTAGTGTTATTTTATTTATCTTCTATTATTTTTTATTTATATTATGGGTTTTCATTGTATTTATTTTTCCCCAAATAAAACTGGATTATATTCATTATATTTTTTTCTTTTCTTGAATAAAATTTTAAAAAAACAAAAGGAGTCATTTGGCTTATTTTCTAAAAAAAGGTAAAACTTAGCAACGTAAATGTTTTTAGGGAAAAAGCGATCACCCGATTAAGTTTAAAGCTAGCCTTGCGGCACAACGTAATTAATTGCAAGAAGTTTGACTTGTAATAATATATATAATGTAGATATTAGGATATTTATAAAATAGAATAATAAACCCAAATGATAGCCATTGTCAGATGTAAATATGAAGTATGTAGAATCCAAAATGTCTGATTCGTTACAAGCCTTAACTACAGCACTAAAAATATTATCTACTGTCAATAATGTTCTCCATCTATTATAAAAAAAATCAAATGTAGTCAGGCGCGTAACCAAACAAATTTGCAAGTTCTCGTAAATATCATTTTAAGCTAATAAAATTTTTCCTCTACATTCCCCCCCCCCTCCCAAAAAAATGTATTGTATAAGGAAGAATATGAAAGAAAAATTCATAAAAGTTAATACCTTTTAAAATAACACTATAATTCAAATTTTTTTAAAAAGGATTTTAATTTTATAAAAAGTGAAAACCCAAAATTATTTTTATAAAAATCTAAGATAGCCAAAGGCCTACAATAAATGGATATAAAGATCTCCAGTAAAATTCATAGGAAAAAATACATTTAATAGTCCCCCCCCCCAACATGAAAAATCCTATGAATTAGTATTATGTTCATATTAATAATAAGAAATTCAATAATTTTATGATAACAATCTTAGTGTATAAACCTTTTTCGAAAAATTTCATCTATGAGAACCACCGTCTTATTAGATAGGATGTTCATAGCCTGTCTAACTATCCAATGTTTCCTCTAAAATGAATTATTAATTAATCTTTAACAAAATTTTATTTTTACAGGGTTAGTAGTTATATTGTTAAACGATGCAAATTTTGGAACCGATTTTTTGAGAAATTTATTTTTATATTGAGGAGCATAATCCCAAGGTTCATGAGGTGAAGGAAGGCCAATCGTCATTATAAAGCCATTTTCTGGCTTTTCCTAAAAAAAATAAATTGCAAAAACAATATAAATAGAAGTTCAGTAACCTCCAGAATAATTATCAAAATCATTTTTTACTTATAGTTATTGATAGTTTATCTAGGGATTGTTAATTCTATATTAACTGAGAAAACCTATTTTATAACCTCAGATGAAAATCGTTTTTTGATATATGTTATAGCTTTCTTCTTTAAGACGTTTGGTAGATAGTCCTTTTCATAATTATCTTTGTAATCGCGAGGTTTACCATTATTAGAGATAGTGTAATTATAGTATCTAGAATTTCCAGCCTGTAAATAAGATATATTATATTTTTGTTTTTACAAAAAAAAAATATTAAAATTATCTTTGGCGTAAATAAGCCATTTGAAACTATTAACAAAATAACCAAAATTATTTTTAAATAAAGAAATTTCAAAATTCCATGCTAATATAATCATCAAAATTTTTAAAATCTGGTTGGGCTTAAAATATTAACCCTCCCCCCCCCCCAGATCTCTGATACTAGATCGCATTCAATCTATAATATAATTCTTCTTAACCTTAAGTATTAATATTAATATAAAAAATTACCAAAGCAAACCAATTGGTCCAGCCATCCGGTATGTAATATCTTTCCGAATCCTTTTCATTATGAACACCATACTTATTTTTTAAATAATTTTATAATAAAAATATCTACAAGAATGTTTTATAATTATTTTTAAAAAAATTAATATAGCTAAATTTAATTGGCATCATTGGGATATCACTCCTGCCTTTACTATTATCAAGTCTGAAATATTTTATTTGTAAGCATGGATTCTTTGAGTAATGCCTAAGATAAAAAAATAACATTTTTTAGCACGCTGAAATGTAGTTTGTGACCTATAAGTCATTTTATGTTTGATGATAATAACCTCATTTAGATATTTCCCCATGTAAAATGTGTCGTAGCCTTTTCGTTTAAGGTAAAGTGGATAGGTGTGTCGTTTTTCAATGGTCGCTCTCCACTCAGTTCCGGAACATTGTCCCTCCCGACTATTGTTAACCACATTATGATTATGTACATAAAGACCGGTTAGTATACTAGCCCGACTAGGACAACAGAGGGGTGATGCGGTGTACTAATTAACATTAAATATATTCTGTTATATTGTAATATAGCCTTGAAGAATTTCATTTATTAAAAAACACAGTTGTCAACCATACATTTAAAAAATAGCAGAGTTATACAAATTCTAAAAAAGTCTTCAATGCCGATACAAATACCTCGAAAAATGAATTCAATACGATATAAAATCTATGCATTCCTGATTCATCCCACAAATTATTTTTTAGTGCCCGCACTTATCAGGGTTGAGAACTCGAACCTAAACCCTCGATATCGCTGAACCCAAACACGGGTCCAAGCTAAACTTTTATTTATTTTAAAAAATATGTTAAATAATAAAATATAAAAAACATGCAATTTACGTTCATTTATAAAAGATTTTCTATAAACATTTAAAACAATTGTTTATTATTTTTTTAAAAAAATATTAATTTTAAAAAAAATTTTTTGATTATTTTTTTATGGAATCATTTTTGTTATATTTTAGAGTTGGCCATTTTTCGTAAAAATTTTTAAATTTTACTCAGCAAAGCAGATTTTAAAAGTTTTTCATAAATGATGATAATATTTTAGGATATTGTTGTTTGTGGATTATTAAATAAGATAAAGATAAGTATATAATCACATGGTAAAAAATTTTTAAAAAATGCAAGTTGCAAATGATCAAATATAATTTAGAATATATTAAAAAATGGTGGCTATTTATAAGGTAAATTTAATAATCAAATATATATTTCCTAGAATATGTAATATCTAAATATATAATTAAAATAAGGAAACATCTGTTAGCTATTTTGTAATTACAAATTTAGTTTAGTTAGTCTTAATTAAAGAATCAAATATTCAATTAAAATATATTAAATATAATATAGATTAAATATGCGCAATAAAAAATATATATGAATGGTGGCTATTTATAGAGTAAATTTAATAATCAAATAATATTTCCTAGAATATGTCATATCTAAATTAATAATTAAAAAAAATATGGCAATCTGCTATTCATATTGTAATTACAAATTTAATTTAGATAGTTTTATTAAAATTTAAATAATTTGTTTGAAAAAAAATTAAATTTTTGGATGAAATTCAAGGATTTATTAGCCGAATATTTTAAGTTTCGACACCTGGTGAGGGAATAGTTAAATTTATCCAGATTATACACTTTGGCAAAAATTGTTCTAGGTGCCCCAACAATACAAATAATATATAATAAATATATTATATTAACATAATTAATTACTATAGCGTTGAACGATCATTCTCATCATTAAAATATTGTCGGACCTACCTGGAAGTCTTAATGACGACATTTTTAGAAGATATTATGATAATTCGCCTTAATTAAATTTTTAAAATAGAATTATAATATTATCTTTTTAAATTTTATTATAGTAATATATAATTATGATGATAAATTATTTTTATGGCATTACTAAATAAAAAAAATTTTTAAAAAATGATGTTTCTGTTATTTTAACTAATTTTTATAAGTCATTTTTCTAGGGTAAAGAGATTTTTCACTGAACCCAAACCCGAACCTATTTTTTTTGGAAGGAGGGTTCACAGCCTTGCTCATAAGTAATAATTTTTTTATATTCACTATCACATAAATCCTTAGATCCACACTTAATACACTTTTTTTGCTTAATGCATTTTCATAGTTTTGTCAACCTGGAACATCTCTTTCTATTTATAAAATATTTTTCATGACACTAAAAATGAGATGTTCTAGTGCGCCAAATTCGTAAAGTAACATAGCTATCTATTATGCCTTAACAATATATGGCGGCACCAAAAAGGAATCATTGTCAAATATCTTATTCTTAAAGGATTGTATGGTTATTAAATTTTGAAATATTTTAAAAAAATTCGTTTTTTAAAGAAGTAAACTCTTTTCATAGAGCAATAAAAATTCTTCTAAAGAAATTCTCGATTGCAATAGAGTGTATCCTTCCATCGTTGGGGGAAAAAACTAACAATCATGTTCTAAAGAATATTTGTAATATGGAAGAAGAGATTAACCATAGGGTGTATTTGACTTCAGGATGCCATGGATATAAACAGGCTGTAAGCTAACAAGGCCACCCGCTAGGTCTTTTTTTTATTATTAAGATCTAATGACTTCAGGCGCTTACACAGGAATTGATCACGGGAAGGGGGATAATTAAATTTTTTTAGAATTATTCTAGGAGATATTTAAGAATATCGTTAGTTTCAGAAATTTATTAGAACTAGTGACTATATTTAGTAATTTAAACAAATTCAAATATAAATTTATGATAAAATATTAAATGCATATAATGGGATAATTTAAATGTCTCGAAAATGAACTTTGTAAAAAAATATAAATTTTTGAAGTATATAAAATTGGATATGTAAATTTAAATCATATTTAAAAAAATAATAAATGTTTGGAGATATAGATGAAATGCATGAAAATATTCTTAAGTGATATTGCATGTATATATAAACTTACATATTGAAAAAAAAAATGTGTATTAAAAAATGGGAAAAAATATAATGAAGTTGTAGCATTTATAAATTTATAATGTGAAATTTAATTTTATTCGAGAGTGAGCTAATTTTTCAATGATTTTATCGGTGCTTGGTGTCAATTCCCTATGTATATTAAAAAGGACTAAGCCATGTAATCCTATTTATTAGTAGTGTTGTTAAACGCCTCCATTTGAGCTGATTTTAAAAAATGGTTTATTCAATATTTTATCCAGAAAAATATTGCACAAGCTTGAAGTTTTGCTCATAGGTGCCACAAATCTCAAGGCTTAGGCAATATTTATCTGGCTAGAATAATGAGTTAGCCTTTTTAAAAACGTCGAAATCGAGCCATTTAACAACATTACTTCTCACATCTCTTTTTATTATTCCTATATTGGAACAATAGCTTACCTTGCTGCGAGTAGAGGTAGACAAATATTAAATTCTTAGATCTCTGCTTTTAACTCAACAATGACATATAGTTTATAAAATTCGTTAGATTTCCAATTGCGGTCGTTTTGCGGGACATTCGCATAAAATATATTTTTAATTGTAAAATTAAAATCGTTTTTTTTTTAAATTTTTATCTTGTTTACATTCTTTTATATTTAAAAAAGATAGTTGGTTTTTTTTATAAATTAATATATTTTAATAAATTAAGATGTTATTTTATTTTGAAAAATAGTTACCGACTTTGTATTTATATAAACTAATTATAAAACATAATAGGCTATAATTGAAATAGTATCCTTTTTACAACATCAACATGTATAAAGTAAATTAATAAAATACGGAATTAATTTACCGAATTGGTGAATATAGATCCACGTGTTTCAAAGAATTTATTAACAAATGTTAGCGGCCTCTAAAATAGATTTTTTTTTATTATAAACAATTTTTAACTTAATATAAAAAAGTTATTTTTATTACCATTCCATCTAGAATTAGATCTTGATCATCTGTTAGGAAAAGAATAATGTTAGGATTTGATTGAATGCTAACATCAAAAAATAATAACAATATCCAATACCAATACCAATGTTTCATATTATTTATCTTAAAAAGAGATTTAACCCCAAATTAACAAAATGTATTTTTCAATATAAATTGTTATTTATTTATTTTTATGTCAAATTATTTTATTTATAAAGATTTCAATAATATTTTTATATAAATTTTATTTTCAATTTTAAATAATAGAAATAATTTAAAATAATAAATATTAATTTTAAAAAGATATTAAATAGAAAAAAATAAAAGTATGGAAATAAAATACATATGTCGTATTGGGATATGGAATCATGTGGGATTCGGAAACATATACATAACTTTAAAAATAACTTTAAAAAAGCATCATACACCCAAAAGAGGAGTGAATGTTTAAATTGGATTAGCAGATTTCGAGAGAAATCCTGACGAAGGTAGAATCCTTCTTTGAGATCACCTGTAATGAGTCTCCTTCTTTCGCCGTTTGATAAAATAGAGAGCCTCCTAACATCGCAAAGATATTAGTAACTATTGGTATAAAAACTAATGTTCGTGAGGCCTGTATATTTATTTATATTAACGATTTCTGCCTTTTCAATGACAGAAAATGAGAGGTTAGACTTCTTTGCAAAGTCATGGACGTGTAGTCCCAAGACAATGAAAGACCGTTCGTCCGTGGGCTATGCATTTGGGCATAGGGAGTTACCAATTAAAAGACCTACTGGCTCAAGAGTGGATGGGATGTTAACCTTTTTGAGGTGTTGTTACTTATAGCAGGATTGTCGTCCGGGAGAACTTGCAATAAAGAAAAAATTTTTATTAAAAAAATATATTTTCTAGGTAATAGCACTGTGGATTGTTATAAAGTGTGGCCTGCATATTTCAATTAGAATCCTTTGCCGAAGATAAAAACCTTCCTGGGGATCATCCGAAATATAACGGAATTTATGGTCGAGTGTTTAGAAGAAATCCAGACTCTGGAGTCGAAAGCACCGATTGTGTCAGAAACAATATAAATTAAAGGGATATTAGGTATGTTACTATATTTATTAATTTTTTTAAATTTCCGCTCTAGCCCAAAAATTGAAGCTAAAGGAAGGAGCAAAACAATCAACGCATGCGTAATACCAGTTGCGAAATATATTATAACTAGTGATGTAAATATAGCATTCATTCCAAAATTCTCAATAGTCAATATCTAGACCTACTCAAAAATGAATCATAAAATTTAATATTAATTCGTTTATTTTAAAATATCAATTTTTGAATGTCTAATTTAAACATTAAAGGTTATTCTAATAATCTGATGATAAAGAACATGCGATCAAGTTGCTAAAAAAGTTAATACGAATATAATGCTCAGCCAATTTTTAAGGCAAGGAGTTTTTCTCTTTTGTTCCTTCTTTATGATATGCGTTTTTTCTACAGCAAATTTAGTTCCAACTGAGAAAAGGCTTTCATAAGCAGTTAATGCACCCTGTGAATTACATCATCTATCAGAATGACAGGTAATTAATAGATATGAATGATTAAATTTTAGTTAAAAATTATTCAGCATTATTTGATTCGAATATTTAAATTATCCTTCAATCTTTTTATCGTTTTTAAGGTATTTTTTTTATTAAGCTTCAATCAATTTCAGTTTTTTAAAATTCCACATAGAAATTTATTTCCTATTAGAAAGCTCCTGTGTAAAAATGATAAAAGGCGAATTTATTTTATAATTTGTAAAATAATATATTATTTATATTTTAATGTTTAAGGCGTTATTTTATATTGTAATTGGACATGTTATTATGTTTATTTTGAGTTTAAAAAGTTAATTGTTTAAAAAGAAAATATTATATATAAAATGGACATTTTTTTAAATAATAATTACAATATATTGAAATTTCTTGAATAAATACTAATATTGTGTCATCATAAATTCTATACCGTTCTCATATTATTATCGACTCAAACCCCAACGTTAGTGCAAGTTTTCCCCCTTATAACATGGTGGAGGATAGAAATTATATCAAAGTCAAAGTTCCATTAAAAACATTGAACCTGAAATTCTTAGCGGAGAATATTGTTGATGAAGCCATAAAAAAATATAAACTGTTCGAAACGATTTATAAAGAGATGGCGGTTAGCATTATGTACAATTTATCGTTTCAACAAATGAAAGATTTAATACAAAGAAAGGTCGAAAAAAATAAAATTACACGTATCTTTGAATTATTTAATTCAAATCTGGTAGATTGGAATCTTCCAGAGAATATCTGGATTGACTTCATTGCTGAGGTTCGGGGCTGAATTAAGAATTAATTTCGGTACAATTCATAATTAACTGTCGTAATGAAAAACTTAAAGCAAGATTGATAGAGGAAAATACGATGGATCTAAACATATTATGATATTGTGGTCAAATATCAATCGATGGAAATAACTGATAAAAAAAACCTGTGCAGAGAAAGATTCATGGAGAATAGATGGTGGAGCGAAATGGCAAGGCCATTCGGTATGGAAGGAAAACAAATATGCTTTTAAAAGGACCGATAACAGCAACATCAAAAAGCAAGAGATTATACAGATACCGTAGAGGCCACGAAATAAGATGAATTTTATGAATGATTTTATCATTGATATGCAATTAAATAATCTAAATATTTCATTTATGATATACTGGTACTCCGATGACAGCCTTGCCAATTAAAGACTTCGAAAAGCTCACGAATCATGAAAATATTGAGTTAAAATGTTTTTCTAGGAAGTTATTCTCTTATGAAGGCTCTCCCATCATAGTAGTTGGAAAAGTCATTAATTGTAAGGCTTGGTTAAATATTATTAAACATTTAGATTTTTATGTATTAGATGGGGAAGGACCACCCTTATGTGGTCAAGATTGGATTAGATAATTTGATAATCAAATGCGATTTTGATATAAACATGTTTAATAAGCAAGAGATAGGTGATAAATTAATATCTTTTAACAATTTGTGTTCATATAAGGATAATAGATATTTGTTTAAGTGTAATACTTGTACACCTACATTACCAAGAGTGGTCCGGATATTAAAAGAATAAATTGCAGAGAATTAACTTTAGAACCACTCAGTGTTTGTGTCAGTGGGTTCAATTGTGGATACTGTCATTGGTAGGATCAGTAATGTCATGTGGGAAATTAAGATACAGTTATTCCCTCCTTTCCCCTTTTTAATGTTGTCATTTAACATTTCGTTTATTTTTGTTGAATATTAATTAATATTTTATAAAGTATGCGTAGTTATTATTGTACTATTATAAATAACTTCATTGATTCTCTTTTTCATTGTATTGATTCCTCTCCTTGCAAATAACTTTATTTATTTTCTTTCCCATTAGGGGAGACCGGGGTAAAGCGATTGACGGGGTAACAATGTTAACGCGAATCGCGAATAACTTTTTAACCATTGAGTATAAAGACCTTAAATTTGGTGTGAAGATGTATTTTTATATCTAATTTCTTACCTATGTTCATCTTTTAAAAAACTTACCTGGTTTTATATATTTTGTCAAAAAACTGTTTTTTACCCAAAAAATATAAAAATCATTCTCTAGTATATTTTGCTTTTAGTAAAATTTACATATCCTCAGGATTCAAAATTTGGCACACATGTTCCTTAATGTATTAGCTATAAAATAAAATTTATCTGACATCTTTAGCTATATTAGAAGTCACGCAATAACGATATTTATAATATATGTCACCTAGGGGTAAAGCTGTTATGGGTAAAACGGTTAAAATATAAAATTATTCACATTAATTTATTTATTATAATTTTTATTGTATCAACCAAATAATGAGAAATTATAAAAGAAAAACCATATACAAAGATGTAAATATAATAAATGAAGCCATAAAATATAAAATAACAAATAATACTTCATTAAATTTGTCTGCTAAAAAATTTAACATACCTTATACAACGTTGAGAAGGAGATGTAAAATTGGTATTAAAAGTTCAGATCATCATAAACAAATATTTACAAATGAAGAAGAATCTAGATTGTGTGACTACATATTAGAAGCAAGTAGGTCATTTATGGGATTAACGCCTAAACAAGTAATTAAATTATATTGTTTGTATTATATTGTATTTCATAATTTTAATAACTCAATTTAAATATCAATATTAATTTGGTAACTTTAATAAAAATGCTCAATTGAAATTATATTGTATTTCATAATTTTAATAATGCTCAATCTAAATATCAATATTAATTTGGTAACTTTAATAAAAATGCTCAATTGAAATTATATTGTATTTCATAATTTTAATAATGCTCAATCTAAATATCAATATTAATTTGGTAACTTTAATAAAAATGCTCAATTGAAATTATATTGTATTTCATAATTTTAATAATGCTCAATCTAAATATTATTAATTTGGTAACTTTAATAAAAATTCTCAATTGAAATTATATTGTATTTCATAATTTTAATAATGCTCAATCTAAAAATCATGTGGGGCAACAATTTCAGATTTATGATATTCCAGGAGTGTTAAAAAATGAAATACCAAGGGCAGTGACATCAAATAATATATTAAATGGATTCTTAGCATGTGGCATATTTCCTTTAAACCCAAATATATTTACAGAACAAGATTATATCTGCTGTAATAATTCAAATGCTAACTCAAATATTGAATTTGAAAATAATGATGAAAATATTACAGTGACTCAAAATCTTACAGTGACTCAAAATAATAGTGATTTATCTATATTATTGAACGAAAATGTTCCAGATGATATTGATGAACCTTATCATGATATGTTACCATCATGCTCAAAAAATTATAATAAAGTATTCAATCCTTCATCTATAATACCTATTCCAAAATTATTCAATATTTCATCGGATAAAATATCTAAAAAAAAGAATTCAGAAATATTAACATCTACACCTTATAAAAAAAAATTATTAATTCAGAGAAAAAAAAAGATATCAAAAAATAATTGTGTATGTGTTATTTGTAATAAAAACTATAAAAATAGTCGCGAGGGCGATGAATGGCTAAAATGTACAATGTGCCTTGAATGGGCACATTCTAAATGTGCTAATTATGATAATTATTTTACATGTCCTTATTGTATCGATTAGTTTTTAAATAAAAATCATAAATAAATCTTAAATTTGTAATATTTGTTAAATAAAACAATAAATATGTGTCAAATATTATTTTAACCACTTTACCCTAGTGCTTATCCATTTTACCCTGTACCCAGGGTAAAATGGCGAAAATGAGTAATTTTACATAACTAATCATAGCTCCTAAAATATTATAGGTAGAGGGCTACACTTTTTTTTATCTTGTAGAAGAGAGATGGGGCTAAACATTGATCTATAATTTGTTGTGTTTGACTCTTGTTTAAAATTTTTATGGTAAATATGCAAAATGCCTATCGTTTTACCCCGGTCTCCCCTATATTTATTCCCTCATTTATAAAGATACATTAATTCCCATTCTCATTATAATAATTATAAAAAAAAAAATTTTTTGTATGTTCTTCCTAGAAATTGAATGGTATTTTAGACAGTATGGAAAATTTTGTATTCACATATGTATGGAAAATTTTGTAATGACATTTTTTTTTAAAGGCAAAAAGGTTTTTGAATTTTATTTTTTTTGTGTAACATTTAAATTAAGTTTATAAGTAATACATACCCGGCCTGTTGTAACATAATAATTAAATTTTAAACCATTATTGGTAAATATTATTATATCAATTAGCCCATATATAGTGTAATTTATACCTTCTTTACCAAAAAAATTATAATGGATAGCTATTTTGACCTCTCAACATTAGCCCATATATAGTGTAATTTATACCTTTCTTATATCTTTCTACATTAAGGGTATAATTACGAAAAATATTATTTTGGATAGCTTTTTTGCCCTCCCAAACACTTTTATTTGATTTGTTGGTATACTAATTATTGTTGTTTAATTCTTTCTCCCTGACATCGACTACTCAATGTTATTTTTCCATGATAACATCACTTTCATACATAATTTTCGTTATTTTATATTGTAATTGGACATGTTATTATGTTTATTTTGAGTTTAATAAGTTAATTGTGTAAAAAGAAAATAATATATATAAAAAGGAAATTTTTTATATAATAATTACATTACATTGAAATTTCTTGAATAAATACTATTATTGTGCCATCATAAATTCTACACCGTTCTCATATTATTATCGACTCAACCCCCAATGTTAGTGCAAGTTTCCCTTCTTGCAATACAATTAAGTTAGTATCACTTTCATAAAGAGTTTCATCTGAATTTTGAACAATATTCAGAGTTTTAAATTAATATAGTTCAAATTTCAAGTTAAAATTTGAAGAATTTTGAGACACTTCGTTTAAATGATTTTGGGATCGGGTCGTAGTCATAATAATTTATTATCAAAATTTATTGTTTAACAAAATAACTAAAATAATTATTATCAAAATTTTACACAACTAAAAAAGTTTATATTAATAAAAATTTCAAAATTATTTTAAACATAAAAAAGTGTGTATTAATAAAGATTTTCAAAATTATTTTACAGAAAAAATAAAAAATATCTAAACTATAAAAAATTGGTCCCTTTTATAGGGAAAATAAAAGGCGCAATTATAAATTAAAATTAAATTGGCGCAAAGTGAAAAAAAGAACGTTTTTGTGGAAACGAGTTGTGTTAGTTTTATCGTACATAATTGGGGATAAAACCTACCCCCTATACTTCCCGAAACTCAAAATATACCTTGGGATGCAGGGTGGTCTCCCGGACCCAACGGTCTAACTCATATTTTCGGATCACCTTACTGAGAACTCCTAAAGTAAGAAATCCAGTAAAGTGAGAGAAAACACAAAAGCCATATGTTTTACTTTCACTGTGTTTAACTTAAAACAAGAGAGGGACCAAAAAGAGAAACCTTTTTTTAACTTTCATTTTATTGTAAACAAAGGAGGGGTATTAAAAAACTTTATTTAACTTTAACATAAACAAAAGAGGGGGATTAAAAAAACTTTTTCATCTTAACCATAATGAAAGAGGGGGATAAAAAAAACTTTTTTTTTTCATCTTTAACAAAATTAAAATGACTTTTCCAAAGAATTAAGAAAGAAATATTTGTAATTTTAAGTTTATTATAATAAAAATAGTTGGTCTGCGTTTTATCTCGTCTTATTCAAAATAGCTAAAGTTATCAAAATAGAACTAAACTGAAGGTAGAATAAATATACATGTTTAAGTGTATATTTTAAGATATCATTACCTTATATTATAATCAATATATAAAAAGCAAAAAAAATTGTATCCTAACTACTTTTCTGAATATTATTTTTAATGTTTTTATTTCTATGACTTAAAATAGTGACACTGCTAGTGAAAAAGAAAAGCGTTTTCTCAGCACTTTTAAATATAATATAGCATCTAGATAATAATATTTTGATAAAAACATTTTTTGGTAAATGCTTAATTTTTTATAAAATGACGCCTAAATTAAAGTGTTATGGCTGTGTCCTGGGTCGATTCAATTTGGATACTTAATCGCTAAGTTGTCCTAGGACATGGCCTATCGACTGAATTGAAAGCCAATAATTTATCTAAATAAATTGAAAAATATCAAAAGTAGATGGGATTAATCAAAATTTAGCTGATATAAATCTATTATATAAAACCTATTAACTTTCAATATCTAAATTTTCAGATATTTGCAATTGAAATTTCTTCACTCCAATAAATTAGATACTGAAGGAAAGTTTGCTAGCATTTCAAACAATTTCTAAAACGGGTAAGTAAATATATTATCGTCAGTTGACCAAATAATAGGATTAGAGAACATTTTATAAAAACCTGACATGTAATTGAGACAAGTTGTGAGATGATATATAATTTACTTCCTTCAATTAATTCAAGTCAAAAAAATTATTCCAACCACGAAGATGATTTTATATCTTTATTACAAATGAAAAAGAATAGCAAGTCGAAATATGCTATACAATACAAAAAAATCTTATAACGGCATCGAAAAGAATAAAACATCAATATTTTTGCATCTTGGAAAGGAAGAAAATTAGCGCATCTCGAAGTCTTATTAGCAATAATAGCCATGTCTGTCCCACTATATAGATTTAGGTTAAAAGAACATTTTTAAGATTGAAATATATTCTACCATCACAGAGAATAAGATTGGACAAAGATATATTAGATGATAATTTTATATACAAATAAAAATTGAAAATAAAATTTTGGGATAGCTTTAATGCGTGTTTTATTTTTCTATATTTATCAGAAAATAAGATTAAAATATTATCTATAAAGCTATATATATATGGGCATACCATATAAAAAATAATATTACTGAACCTCTATGAATATTTTAGGGCGAACCTGAACCGAACAGATATATCAAAAGGTTCGATACTCTTGATATATATATATATACTAATCAAAATAAAGTATATTTAGTTATGAAAAAAAATAATTAACATTTTAAATAATTAAAATCAATTAAGGATGACTATAAATATTCCTAAAACTTATGGGAAAAAAATAAGGGTCAGATCCAGATACTAGTTCGATTTTTAAAAACGACCAGATTAAGATTTTAACCTAAATAATATTATGTAAGCCTGGAGATTTTGCTCATAGATGGGACTTCTGCCAAATCATACATAATATTACTTTAGCTAAAATTTTAATCGGGCCGTTTTTAAATATTGAACGAAATAGTTTGACAACACTACCACATACTTTGGCATTGGTATTCTCTATTTTTGAAAAAATAAGAAAGAAATTGAATGTTACTAATTCATTATATATATCATAATATACGTATAATATTAATATAAATAATTATAAATATAAATATGGTATATTTTTATCAGTCAAATATAAATAGTTTTAAAATTATAATAATAAAAAAAGCATGATTTAATTATGACGAAAATAATATATTTTCTAATTTTAAATGCGAAATAAATTAAAACTTTCGAGCAATTGACTAATTCTTTAAAAAAATTGGTGCTATAAATTGTATCAACAGAGTAACCAGCACATAATGGTTTTCAAGGGACTGTGAATGTAATATAAACCGGAAACATTTTGTAAATTAATAAAATATGAGACCAGATAAGAGAATAAACGTGGAAAAAATGCTATAAATAATCAAATAAGAATCCCTTAAATATAATCATTATACATTCATGGCTAGAACACAAATTTGACAATTATTCAAAAAAGTATAAAATATTTTAAAATAAACAATTAATTTTCGCGGAGGACATATCTTTTTTCGTCAATAGTTCTGTTTTCAGCTAATTGAATTCTCAGCTTTCTGTTAGATAATTTATATAAAATTAATGTAAAATAAGATATCATAAAATAGATTTAAATGTATCTTTCCTTGTTCAAATTTAAATTCACTTTCTATGAAATAAATATCTGGGCATAAAACAAATGTTAATTATAATTCTTTCATAAAAAAGTGCAAAATATATATTAATTGTTGACCTATTGTCTAAATAGAGACAATCTTTAAAGTTTTGAATTAAGTTGCCGATTTCTTCACCACTAGAAAAAGTTATAAGACCGTACCTGTGGGATTTTTAATGCATTATTATATAATATAAATATATAGTACATAATAGTAAGAGGTATAACATATACAGACATTAATTTAACAATTTCCATATATATGCTCGCCAAATTTTAGTGAACATTATATTTACTGGCGAAAAACATTTTTGTTAAAATATAAAATAATTGTTTGATGGCACCGACCAGGGATGCGAACCTGGCAAAATTTTGTATGGGTTCGGTTCGGTTTAAGGTTAAAAAATATAGGTGGGTTCGGTTCGGGTTAGGTTCAGGGAAATATTTTTGAACCTGGGTTTGGTTACATGTTCAGCTCGGGTTTAAGAATTTTTGAATTGATAAAAAAATTCTATATTTAAATCATAATTAAAAAACTAGACATAAATTTGGTATAAAAAATAAATTTTTTATTTTATTTATAGGCAAAATATAATTAAATATACACAGCATAGTCATGTATCAATTTTAAAAATTTTATTTAGACGTATTTCTTTAAATTACAATATCCAATATAATAATTTTTACTTTGACTTGTTCACTTTCATTTTCCTCTAATTAATAATCTTTGAGAATAAATTAAAAATTAAAAATAAAAGGCGTAAATGAATTTAATTGTCTAAAATTTATTAACAATCTAATAGGAATCTTTGAGAATAAATTTTAAAAATGGAGTAAATGAATTAAGTTGTTTAAAACACTTCACTTAATTGGAAATTTGAAAATATTATAAAACCTCAAGTAAATTATTAATATTTGTATTTACAATTATACAAATATCTTATATTAATATAAACAATACACTGAACCCGGTTGAACCCGGGTTCAAATAAAAATCCCGAGTTCGGTTCGGGGTTTTGGAAATTTTATAAACGGGGTTAAGGTTCGGTTCGGGTTCACATTTTCTCCCAGAAACCCGGGTTTTCTTCTCCGGGTTCGGTTTGAACCCCTGGAACCGAGTTTATGGTAGTGCTTAAATATTTTTAAATTATATATTTTTTTAATGAAAAAATATGCATTCTTATTATATATTTTTCGCATTTATTTTATGTTACATTTACATAGTTATTCGCTGGCCCGGCTAGATTATCCAGCCCGAAAAATAGTATAATTTTATAAATCGGGTGTGGGACATAAGATGAAGAAGTGCAAGTTTGAAATTTTTTTAATATTTTTTCCAGTTGGGTTTAAAAATAAAAATACATGCTTGGGGTAGATTTTTAAAAATAAATTTAAATTATAACAATTAAACAATCGAAAAATCACATGATAAATTATTTAGCATTCATGCTCTTCTAAATATCTTCAATTCCCGTTTTTAGAAAAAAACAGCCAAATTATTTAGAATAGCCATATTTACACGGACCTGGCTAAAAAACTAAGCCGTGTTAAGCTAATTTTAGAAAAAAATGGAGACCGTCTAAAGATGTGATTTCTCTAGGAATATTATAAATATTATACCGATTTAATAATCTATATTTTGTTTTTCGAAAGAATATAAATTCCCGAACATATTCATGAATATTATCTCGGTCACGGTGTCTTTTGTAATTTGATTCCAGATCCTTCCACAATTTTCCCAATTACGAGATGTAAATTATCATTGGGATTAATGAAAGAAATCCAAAATTGGCTTTGTAAGAAAGAACGAAATAACTAAATTCTTCTAATCGAAAATATATTTTAAATATAATTATATCCTGACAAAGTTAATCTTTAGAGCCTTAACTTATTAGGTGTTTTCGAAGAATTAGACTATAGTCAAAATAGATTGATTTACTAAATGGTAATTCAAAGTTAAATATTTTTTAAACTTCTTTTATATAGACTTACGAAATTCTGAAAAGTGTACAGGTTTGATATATCATCAATTCATTGAAAGATTGATCCCGGATACATCATCGGAATTGATGAAATTATATGAAAATTTAAATATAATCGTTATTTGATCTTCAAAGTTATGTATGGAGTGGAAGAATTTGTAGGGAAAACATACTTCTAAGCGCCATCGGGAGCAGAAATTCAACCCAAATCTGAGCCATTAACCCGGTATTAACTAGTATTATCTACCAATCCTAAACCAACCGAATCTATAAAAATGCCTGTGAACCAGTTTGAACCTTTTGATATTTTAACTTTTTTAAAGATGACAGTTTCTAACTAAATATCATCTAGCTATTTGAAGGTGCCAGCTATCTAAATTGCATATAGAAGTGTTTTCAGCCCTCAAATTTATTTTTCCTCCTTATAGATATAATTTAGAAGAGAATCCTAAAAATATTTTAACGGTATATGGCTTAATATTATTTTTTAAAGAATAATGATAAAATTTAAAAAATAATCTTTTTACATAATTCTAATACGCTTGTATGCGGAAAGGTCTGAACAGGTTTTTAAAGGCTCCAACAGAACTGATATTATTATTTTTTACGAACTCAACCTGAACCATAACCGTTATTTTTATCTGAACCTAAAACGGATTAGGACCGACATTAGTTATAGGTATAATCCCAATACAGAGCGGCCAAGGATAATGGCATAAATAGGACAGATTGCTCTGTAGGGAGAGTAAAATTAAATTTTTTACGTATTATATTTATCTCATATATAATAAATTAAATTTTCTTTCCAAATTGAGATTAATATAAGGTTAACCAAAGGTTATCTTCATCAATCCCAATGATATGTAAGGTCTCCCATCGATTGTTTTCTAGTGAGAAACATATATATTTTTTTGGATAAAGCTATCAATAACCATAAATCAAACTAAATATTTGCTTCTCTAAAATTAGTTTATGATAACTAGTGTTGTTAAACGGCTCGATTTAAGCCTATTTTTAAAAACGACTAACTCAATATTTTAGCAAGAAAATTATTGTCTAAGCCTCGAGATTTCGTTAATAGATGTTCAAACCTTTGTGCTACCTATGAGCAAAATCTTATGGCTTGCATAACATTTTTACTAATAAAATATCGGCTCAAAATGAACCGTTTAACAACATTAATGATAACTTTACATTTATTATTTATAACTTTTTGTTTCTAATATTAATTTTAACATAACACCTAAATAAAGTTCAAAAAAAAGCATATCATTTAAAATGGATTTAATCAATATAATTTAAGTCATTTTTTGCAATTCCAGAAATGCCCATTTAAGCAGTATGGACGCTTATGGATTTACTAAAACTCAAAATGGATAGATTGTGGAGGTAGGGCAAATTACAGAAGATATGATAACCTGACCGCGAGATAATACCAATGAATATAATAATATTTTAAAAATACATCGATCTTTAAATTAATAAAATATTTTTATACCTCCCATTACTGACAAGACATTACATATGGTCTAATAGATTCGCCAACCAAGGGTGCTCAAATTAAATTTAGGAGTGCTAATTAGTCCTGCACGGGCTATCCGAAGCCCGACCCGAACCTCGGGCTCGGATATTGAAGACTTTTTCTAGGACTTGGATCGGGCTGAATTAAATATTTGATCCTCAATAATCATTTTGTATTATCAAAATATCAATCAAAATCATATGTCATTTTTCATCATATTCTTTTACAATTTCCATTTTCCAAACAATTTCCTTTGATTATGATTTGCATTGTAACAAGTTAAAACTCTATTACTTATATACATCATATTCTATTAGGTTAAATAAAATATATATTATATTCTACACTTAGCCAACAAAATCTTGAGTATTAACCTATTATAATAGTTATGAAATATTAATTTGAAAATTTATATTTTTATCTAAGATCTATTCAATTAAATAGCCTCGGATTTTTATATTTAAATTCAAATTCCAATTTTCTTAAATCGGGCTCGGGTTGGGCCTGGAACAAAAAATTTGTGTTCGTGATAACTTACTATAATTTATAAGATTTGTATTTATTATTTAAGATAAGAAATATATAGCAATATGTTTTAAGATATTTAAATCAATAAATTTTTCATTCCCCTTCCTCCTTATTTATTGCTAATGGTTTAATAAGCCGAGATATAAGATTCCCTTCCATATCACGTTTTTTTTATCAATCCCATTTATATCAATTAATTTATAAAATCTTTTATTATAACAAACAAAATTATACCCTTTGGATAGGCCGAATCTATCTTTAATCAATGCGATATCCGTGATTTTACCGTAATTAGAAAACATATTGCGAAGTTCCATTATTGTAACCTACATTTAAAAAATTCATAATATTTTTAAAAAATTTTAAGAAATACAATTGTATTCAATTTTTAAATTGGTATAATTATAATATGATTTCATAAATTCAAAATATATATGTTAAAGAATCAATCACACTTATAAAAAGCGACATAACAAATTATAAAAAATAGCCTGACGCACAAAAAATAATGACTCGAGTCGGAAAAAATGAACAGAAATATGACCCAGCTCTTTAGAGCTGACTCGGCTAAGCCGTTTAAGAACACTATCCCAATTTATGTATTGAGTATAAATATTAAAGAGATTAACAAAAATATAAGAATGAAGATTATGGATAAAAATAACTTAAATAATAATTTTTTTAAATAAAATTTTAAAAAACAAATACAAATATTATAATTAATCATCCAGTTGGTATGTATTCAGGAGTCAAAACCGTAACGTATATCGGTTCGATTTATGTTATTCATATAAAAATAACGATTCAGGTTCGGTTCAAAGAATTTAATTATTTCGGTTTGGAAAAATAGGTTAAAATATGATCATTCTCTTCTAGTTTAATATATCCAATTTAAGAATATTAAAGATAATATCATTGGCATCAAAAGAAAGGAGCACAAAATAAAAAACTGCCCCCTTAAAAATCTTAATTTTTGAGCACTATTAAGGTTAATTAAAAAATTTATTTGAATTTAAAATTTCTAAGACATTTAAAGGCATTCGCATACAAGCGTATTAGAATTATTTCTTTAAATTTTATTATGGTTATTTACAGTTATCGTAGTCCTAATATTATTTTATTTATTAATCAGTGACAACATTTATTCTTGGTGGCAGTATTTATACCATAACAAAAACGAATATTATACTACCAAGTATTCCTATGAATATAGAGGAAACCATTGATTCTTCGCCCCATGCCGTCCCCTATCCCTGTTTACAAGTAATATTTTTTGGAGGAATGATTTTGATTTACTTTGATTATTAATATATTGTAGATTTTACCAGATATTATAATCTTATTGGTTTAGGTCACAAATATTTTATTATAAATGCTAAGATTCTTCTTCATAAAATTATCAAAATTATGTCACTAAATATGAATAGGCTGCAAGGATTCATTGATTTTATAATAGTGCAAATATATTTATTGTTTTATATATTTTATATAGACAAAAAGGTATAGATTAGATTTTTTATGAACAATTCGAGACACCAAAATAAAAAAACCCAATTTATTATGTATAGAAAATATTATGCAATAAAATAAATTCAATCAAAAGGAAGGCATCGAATTCCATCTTCAACGAATTTTGTGGTGTGAGAATAAAAATTTGAAAAATTATATGCAAAATAACTGCTCAAACGCGTAGCAATAACTTCTAATCGGTTAATTGGTTTAGGATAATTTGATAGGTATTGATTTTTAAAAACTCAGAAAAAAAATTCAATTAGATTTAATTGTGGTAAATAAGTTGTAAAAATATGATATTGGAATAATTTTTACTATTTATTCTCGCTAAATGAATAGGAACATTATCCATTATTAGCAATGAATTCGATGGTAAAATTGTAATTAATTCATCGAGGCATATTTTGAATTTATCTATAATTGTGAATTTCAATCCACTTATTCCTATTGTGCATAGGACTAATATATTTCTTCCCTTGGAGGGAAGTGACTTCAGATGATCTTTTCCCAAGAGGTGCCCACCCATAGTGCGAAATAATATGGGTATTAAACCCTGTCTCGTCCAGGAAGAATACATTTTCAAAAGAAATATTTTTCATCTTGTCACAATATTCCTTTCGAATTTGAAATATATCTGGAGCGTTTCTCCTATCTCTTTACCAATCCTTTTCCGGCTAAAACCCATTCATTTAATACATTTTGATATAGCCGACTCGCTCACATTTATATATGGCGGTAAGTGTACTATTATATTTTTGATGGTATAGCCGTTATTATTACCAAACAATTCAGGTATATTAGATTAAAGTTCTGAGTTGTCTTTTTTCTTCCGACCTTGTTATTTTATTATATAAATAAAGGGTAGTCCTAATAATCAGGGAAAGTTTCCCCCTGAAACGATAAACTTTCGAATGGATAGATCATGGGCAATTTGGGCTGATCAACAATTGGTTTACTCAGTCATATTTTAGCCAATTCCATTTTTTTCATCGCTCCAATTACCATTTTTTTCCGCAAACGAATAGGATCAAAATTTGGTTGGTCGTGAATATACAAATTTTGTAATGTCCGTTAGACATTTAAGGGAATTTGATGGGATAGGTGAATAACTTTGGTATCTATTTTTTATTTCAGATAAACCCCCCCTCCCCCCCCCCGAGAAAATAAGAAGTTTCCTTAGGTGTATCTAAAATTATGTATATTAGTAAATAATCGAACATTATATTAACAAGTCTGAAATTGGAGATAGATTCAAAATACTAGCGATAGTAAAATATGACATTTAAAAAAGAATAGAAATATAGTTTTTAATAGGTAAAAAAATTAGATTTAAAAAAAAATTATTAGAAGTTTAAAATTAAAATTGTCGCTAATTTAAAAAAAAATTATTAGAAGTTTTAAATTAAGTTCTAAAAAATAGCGGAGGTTTTTAAAAACAATCATGTTTTTCTCAACATTTTCTCTCAAGTTTTTAAAAGTTTTCTAAAAAAGGTTGCATTTTTTTCAACAAGATTTTACAATTACGGAAAGCAAAATAATTATATTGTAATGTTTTTAACATATATGGAAATGTTTTTCAACAAATCATATTATTACTGTATAAGATTTTGACTCTTGGTAGATAAAACCCTTTTAAACATTTTTGTAAATTTATTAAATATGTTTTATTATATATCGAATTTACTTTTAGAATCTATTATAAAATATAAAAAATGCTAAATCAATACTTACAAGCAATTAAATATAATTTTTTAATATACAGTGGGAGATTTAGGACTAAAGGCATATTTGAATTAATATTATATAAAAAATTTACAATAGGAAATATATGCAAAAATTACATTAACATTTCGTGACTGAATGACTCTGTGAGAAGATTGTTTACGTTTGCATAACAATGTTTATTAAACAATTTATAGTTTAAAAAGAGGGTAAATATCCACCCCTCCACATAAAAAAAAATAAGCATATATATTTTGCCGAAGTAAATCCGCGCTAAGTAGTGTTGTTAAACGGCTCGTTTTGAGCCGATTTTTAAAAACGGCGAACTCACTATTTCATCTAGAATAATATTCCAGAAGATTTTGTTTGTAGAAGGAACAAAGGTTTGGACATCTATTAGCAAAATCTCAAGGATTAGGCAATATTTTTCTGACTAAAATATTGAGTTAGCCATTTTTAAACGGCTCAAAACGAGCTTTTTAACACTACCGCTAAGTATTAAGATGATAAACTTATAAATTCTAAGGTAAGCTAGATTTTTTTTAAGATATATATTTTTATAACAGAAGGGGACAATTGTGTTTATGTGCAAGATTTAAGTTTAATACTGGGAAATGGGTTCCTGAATCAATATATAAAATATAAGATAATTAAAAAAATATTTTTTATTACTAAGCACTTTAAAACTAAATTTATTTTTAGAGAATAGTGATAAAATTTAAAACATTTTATTTACATAATTCTAATACGCCTGTATGAGAGTGCTAATAAATGTTTTTATGTAGTGTGTTCATTTCTTTTGAAGTCAATGAACTATTATATTTTACAGTTTTTCCAAACCGATATGATTAAATTTTTTGAACAGAACCTGAACTGTTACTTTTATCTGAATCTAAATACAAATCAACACGCCGGGAAGCAGGGGGGAAAATCCCCCTCCCCAGCTAAAAAATCAAGATACCGGATAAAATATATTTAAAGAAAATTACTGATTACTACATCTTATTGCTTATATATTCCTATTTACATTTATCTATAACATTCACAGCAAAAATAAATATGCCACTAATTTATTCTATAATTAATATCGATTTTAAATTTTCACCATTTTAAAATTTCTCAAATTATTTGAAACTTTTTCACTGCAAAACTATTGAAAAAAATGATATCTATATGATTGAGACTATGAGAATAGCTGAGAGCATTATATTGGATGTCATTGTTGAGTCAAAAGCAGAGCCCTATAAATTTAATATTTATCTATCTCGACTTGGAGCAAGGCAAGCCCATCGTTCAAATATAAATATAGGGTCAGTAGAGGAATACCATAGAATAAATCTTTTATTCCCCTCTTGGATTTTATAACTAAAATGAATGTAAAGTTTTCAATTAATAAGGTAGCGTAGCACTTATAAATCTGCAAATATTACATAGGAATTCTTTCGAATCTATTTCAATTCTTGTTAGAGAAAAATTAAATATTTGACAGATTTTTATTGTGAGGGTGTTAAGGTATCCCAATGCCTTACTAGCTGAATGCAAACTATAGTACAAAAGGTTAAATATGGTTGATAATGTTTTAAAAAATGCGATAGATGCATCGCAATTTCAAACACATTTAAGACTATTTTCCTAATGTATAAAAATTATTATATATTTTTCTATCAATGAAAAACATTTCCCTCTTTAACAAGAATAAAAACAAACTTGAGAAATAGTGTTGTTATATGGCTCGATTTACGCCGATTTTTAAAAACCAAAAAAATATTGCCTATGCTTCGAGATTTCGTTTATAGATGTCTAAACCTTTGTGCCATCTATGAGCAAATTCTTCAGGCTTGCGTAATATTTTTCTTTGGTTTAGCCACTTTAAAAATTGGCCTAAATTGAACCTTTTAACAACTTTACTAAGAAGTATGGCCTTCTTAATAATAGCGAGTTAACACTAAACACGAATGAAATCATTAAAAAATTAGCTCAATCCAGGAAATATTGAATTTTATATTATAAATTTATAATATGCTTCTTAATTATATTTTTTACCACGGATAAACCATATTTTTTTCCATGAATATTTTGGAAATTTATATGTGCATTAATCTATATATCCAATATTTTTTTAATATTTTTTTAATATAGTTTTAAATTTATAAATCAAATTTTATATACTTAAAAAATTTATACTTTTTTTACAAAGTTCTTTTCGAGACATTTATTTAATACTGATTCATACGCCGATTATATATATCTAATATTTATAATCAATTTATATTTGAATTTGTGCGTTAGAAATTGACAATATTTTAGTCGCTAGTAGTGTTGTTAAATGTTACGCGGATTCATTCCTTATGATTTTACTAATTTCCACAATCACATGCAACAATATTTAGAGTTGGGTTATCATTAGGATGTTATAAGAATAAACTAAGATGAACGATAATGATAATTTGAGGTTGAGGTTCAGGGACAATAAAAGTAAAAGCAGCGGCGTTCTTTCTACTCTACTGTGAAATAAAATGCAATCAAACCATGATATTTATATCACCGATTACCGATTAAATTTAAATTTGTAAAAATAATATATTTCCAAACATGACCCACCCGAATTTTTCTTTAGTTCAGTACCATCCCGAAAATGAAAAATTTCCCAACCAACTGGTTGGTAGATTGAGTTTTGCAGACCCTTTAATAATCATGACCAAAAAGATCGATAAATACAAAAATCTCAACAATTTCCTTTTTATTCCATTAGTCACTTTTACAAATGATTTTTGCAATTAACCTATGAGTTTTTAAAAAATCTTGGCAGCAAAATTCGGCATTTCACCAACAAAGCCAAGGAATTTTGATATATTCGTCAAAAAATTAAATAGAAATCTTTAGATATAATATGGTTCCATTTTGGGAACACAATTATAAAATTGTATATTATTCTTATAGTGCTTTCATAGTGTTTTAATTTTATAGTGCTTTCATAGTGTTTTAATATTATAAAAAAAATTTTTAATAAATAAAATAAATTGTCATAAAAATATACTTATAAAATATAAAGCCTGCATGCCGGGCTGGTCAAATTTATAAAAAAATTATACCAGGGTGGGCCTAGGAAAAAATGTAACGGGTTGGGCAACTTGTACTAAAATTTTTACAGGGTCGAAGAAGACGATTTGTTTTATTTCTAGAAAGGTACCATCATCGAGGTTGTGAAACAAATAGAATGATTTTTTAAATTTTAATTATATTTTTATATATTTATTCTTTCATCGAAATGATTATAGAAGTTTATAGTAAATATATATCATATTTTTATCGAAATAAATGGATACAATATAGATTATACATTTAGGAAATTCAAAAATCAAATATTAAAAAGACTTTTTGCAAAAAAAATTTTAGAATTTTAGATAAAATTTTATTAAAAATATTACTTGAGCATTCTAAAAGATCAAAAAAAAATTGTGATTTTTCATCAACCTAAATTAAATTTTCAACATAATTTCTTATTATTTAAATATGACGATGTAATTGTTTTGTCTTTTTTAAATTCATATGTTGTTAAATTAAAATAATATCTTTCTTTATTTACTCCATTTTGTTGTATATTTAATAATAACACTCATTTCACCGTATAAGGAAAAACTATTTAATTTGACAAATGGAATAATATTTAAAATAACTCCTGGAAATAATTTTCTTAAAATATAATAATTCTATTTCATTCTATTCTTATTCTCATAATCAAATGCAATATCACATGTTTATGTATATAGTGATCTTTGACAACATAAAAAATCGAAATTCTATAATTTACTCTATAGCTCAAATTACCAACGAATAATCTATTAGCGTATATCGAGTTCTTATGCATTCCCTCTTCAGAATCCCCCTTTTCTGAATTCTCGACGTTTAGCCCAGTCGAATTAGCATGTAGTTCACATAATACAGATGAGTACCTATTTACGGGAATAGATTTCGTAGTTCGAGAAGATTTGAGAGGGGATAAGGCAGGAGAATTGTCCCTCGTGGAACCGTTGCTATACGGGTTTCTATAATGAGAAATGTTGGAAAATGATCTCAGAGGGCTTTTATTGGCAAAATTTGATGTGTTGTTTCTATAATTTTTAGGGTAAATTATTTTGTTTGTTATTATGTTTTCGGTACTTTCGCTCAAGGCGTTGAGCCCTTGGTTAGAAAAATAGGAATGCATCAATTTGAGTCGGCCTTTGAAAATAAATAAAAAACATTTTATATGCAATAGTATATATAAGGTTCACTTTTTATAAATCAAGGTGTTAAACATTAAAAGTAAAATATAATTTAATTGAGAATCAATGTGAAAATCGCTGTCCTGTCAGCTAGAAACGTTTAATAGTCTATAATTAGCAGAGTTGTTAAAAGATACTTTTTAAATGGATCTAGATACAGATACATAGTCTCAAAAGTTATCTAGATACAGATACAGCGTCTAAAAAGTTATCAAGATACAGATACATTTTTTATTATGCTCTTATAGGTTTGCATAAACCTAAATTAATATTATATTGTGAAAAGGTCATGGTAAAGCAATAGAACTTGTTGTTGCTTCCTCTTCTTCATCGATATAGATCTAAATAAATATATAAACTTAAAAATTTAGTTATAAAATAAAATTTACCATTTCCATATTGTAATATTAAAATTTGTATGGTTTATTGATAAACTCGGACATAATATTTAAATTAATGAATATTTATATATATTTTTTATATATAAGTTTTAATATTTTATGTATATATAATTCTTTATTATAGTATTAATAAATATTAATATATAATATATATATATATATTTATTTGTTTCATAAGCTTATATGAAATAAAATAAATTTTACAGTCAAATATTTTTATTTATAATAAAAAAAAGGGGTATATAAAATCTATCTTAAAAAGTATCGAAAACAGATACATATACCTCTAAAAAAATATCTAGATACAGATACCTTTCTAAAAAATCTATCTAGATACAGATACTACATTTTTATATCTAGATACAGTATCTAGATACTTGTATCTAGATACTTTAACAACTCTGATAATTAGTAATTAATGTCTCATTATTCCAATGTTATTTTTTACACCAAATATGAAATTTAGTATAAATAATTCTTTTTAAAAAATTAATGTAAAATGATAAAATAAAATTATGTTAAAATAAGTTGGACAAAAATAAATAGCAGCTCATCTATAATGTTTTATAAAGATCTTCAAAGCTAAGGTAATTTTTAAAAATTATATATTTTCCTCATCCACCTCCCCATTAGAATTAATTCGAAAATTCTTCAAGCCAAATACTATTCAGTTTTGGTTTGGAAGTAAGATGGGTCAAGCAACTTTTTAAGCATTTAATAACCGTCAAAATTTAAATAATTTTTTTGGCTAGTTATTATTTTTATGTAACTCTAGATTGAGCGAGGCCTTAGAACAAATTCTTCGTTATTAGGTTTGAAAGCTCTCAACCTTTATTATTTAATATATGGACACTTATACAATTATACGAATATACTAGAAATTTCCACCAACAATCTTTATTCTCATCTATATATATATTATATATATGTATATATATCAATATTAAAATATCCTCAATGGTCCAATATTAATTATATATTACATGAAATAGATAATGAATTGTAAAAAAAATATAAAAACTTTCCTGTTGCCACATTATTAATTTCTTTTACATAAAGTAAACAAAATACACGGCCAAAGACAGGTTTATTAATATATTTTACAAAAATATTAATTGTAATTATTAGATTCAGAATTTATGAATATGAATAATAAATAAATAAAAATTCCCCGAATAATAAAATTTAATTGATTAAAGATCATTTTTTTTCACAATCCAATTTGTTTTCTCAAACATTAATATTATCAACAATGGTAACGAATGTTGCTTTTACAAAAATTGTGCAAGCATGATATTTTGGTTAGTGTAAAAACACACGGTCAGAAATTATCTTTCATGATCAATTGTTATATTTTAATAGCAGGATTGATATAGTCAATAATCATGATACCTGAGCTGTCTTCCAATCTACTGAAGTTCAAGTCCCAGTCTATTTTTTGCTAAAACTAATTTGACAATACACGAAATTTTTGTGAGTGAAATCAAACTGATAAAAAATTGACTTAACATGTCTGATCCCACCAAAACATGGATATAAATATTTTAATAAATGGGTGAATATATCAAAACTTTTATTTTAGGCAATTCTAAATTCCTTTTTTTTAAATGGTTATTTTAACCCTTAATTTAATATTTTTATAAAATTTATTGTAAAGTAGTGGGTAATGTAAAATATAATTTATGAAGTATGTTTACAATAAATTTTACAAAAATATTAAATTAAGCACGAAATAGCCAAACATTATAATTTTGAAGAATAAAGATATTATTTCTTTTAGATTACTCATTAACTCATTAATGTAGTATAAATAATATAATATTATTTTAGCTTAAATTACATATATTCTTTATTTAAGATAATGCATTTAACAAATAAAAAAAATTTAATACTTATTTTAACACTATATCTGGTAGTAACTAACTTTAATCTTTTAAGTTATTAATTAAGGGGGTCTACTAATTTTAATATTCTGAAAATTTTTTAATAAGTTTTCTTTGAATATAGTTTGATTGAAGGTTGAAAATATTTTAATTGTATGGTTTAAATAGTATTTTTTTAGGAGTTGATAAATACTGTTTATTTGCTAAAATTTATAAATTAGTTTTTGTATATTGTATGTGCATTAATAATAGCATAAACATTAGTTGCTTTAATTATCAAATTCAAAGATACAATAAAAATGTGATTATCTATATATAATTCTAAAAATTTGCATGCAAAAAGTTTGAACCAGTTCTTAAAAGTTCAAACTTAAGATAGTAGTCTTTTTTGTTATTATTTATCTGAACCATAATTGATATCCATTACAGTTTGAATCCCTGTATAATGTTAACATATAATTAATGTTTATGAAAGAAATATAATGTTCTAAAAAGGTATATATATTCTTAATGATGTGATAATTTTAATTTGATTAATCTTTATACAGGTGAATTTTATCAAATAAAAATAAAATAGGAATCCCTTAATATTTGAATATATTATATTGTTAATGTGAAGAGATTAATTAATAACATTTTATAATGACTTACCATATTCACCTCTTAATTGGAATAAACTAGAGCCATGGTAACTTTGTCTTTGCAAAACATTTTGCCCTATTATATAAAATTATCAAAAAATTGAGTTATGATTGAGTACCTCCTGAATATATGTTTTTTGTAGAAAGTAGGCTTTGCCTTCTTCTAAGACAACTATTATATGGAGTGGCATATGATTGAAAAAAATTAAGCCCCTTTTCTGTTTTCTCTTTAAAGATAAAACTTAAATTGTATTTATAACCAAAATAAATTACTATCGTTTTCTTCAATTTTTTCGGTATTTAATAGCATTTTTTAATCGATTGAAAATGACATATGGTGGAAAGATGAAAATAATTAAATTTGAAACAACTACTAAATAGCGCTCATAAATATAAGTGATTTAACAGAACAGAAGCATCATTGGAGGAGGGGAGCTCAAGCCGATTAAATAATTATACGAGCCACCTGTAATTTTATAAGTGTTTCCTAAAATTAATAATTTTAAAAATATCCTAAAAATGGGTAATTAAAAAATATTTCCATAAAAATAATATTTTTAAAAATATTTCAAATAAAGTGATTTCTTAAAATAAATTGCATTTTTTAAAAGTTGAACTACCTGGATAGTAAAGGCTAGTCCCTCCATTGCCCTTGAAGCTTTTATTTAAAGGCCACACTTTACACCAAATAATACGCTCTCTTCGATCTGCTACCATATCTCCCCACGTAACACACACTCATCTAGGTTGAGCTTAAAAAAAGATATAAAGGATATCCCGGGCATTTGACCACCCTCCCATTATATTTTTCCATATTTAAATGTAATTAATAAATTTTATAATTGTTAATAAGTCGTTTTAATTGTTTTTTTCATCGATTTTTAAAACTATTCGTGTTAATTATTAATGATATTCAATAAACATTTATACAAGTTTCATGTTAATAATATTCAAAAAAAGAAATACACAAGTTTTTATTGTTAATGACATTCAAAAAACAATTATATATTTTTTATGCTTCAATAACTTCGAAAAGTCATTTAATTTTATGTTCGGTAACAATTTAAATTAAATATATTGTTATATAACAATATTCTTTTTTGTATTTTTTAATCATTTTTGATTTTGGGATTTGATTCAATAAACTCATCATGTGTATTTAGTTGTTCTCATGGCAGTGGCGTCGCTAGGGGGGGGGGCGCACAGGGGCTCGAGCCCCCTAAAAAGTTTGAATAGCCCCCTGAAGAAAAATTTTTTTTTTAATGGTTCCTTAATATCCCCTTGAGCTAAAAATAAATGTTTTTAATTGCCCTCTAAATAATGTCTTTTATAATTCTATTGAGTAATATATAGATTTAATTTTATTAAAAAATTAATAAGACTATCTTAATTTTTATTAAATAAAAACTATTTTAATTATTATATTAGATTATTACATATAAATTATACTATCTCAGCTTGCAATCAAATTCTATGTTAAAAATATAACAATATCACTCACTAAATATTAATTTAGCATTAACAGTTGAAGCTTAATTGACTTTTATTATTTAAATTATTATATAACCCTAATTAAATAAATATAATCATTTATTAATTGAAAATTAATAATTTAATATTTTAGCCGAGTTCAAAATCACTAATCAACTATATTATTGATTTTTAAATTTAATTATCATGCCTCTTCCTAAAATTATTTCAAGGTCCAAATCCAAATAAGTATAAGAGATTTATTTATAAAAAGTAAGTAGACATATAGTTTATAACCCTCTATTATATATAATTTTTTATAAAATATTAAGTAAAATGCCACTTTTACAGACGTATCTGACAGTTATATAATATATTACAGTTAATATTTTAAAACTTTACTAATAAATGCTTTTGACAATAAATATAAGTAATAATTTGCTTACAAATATTTAACTCTATCTATTTATTTGCAATATAATTAAAATTAAGCGTATTATTATTCATCCTACAATGGATGTAATAAATTAGATATCTTTTCTTCTCTTTTTTACGTGTTTTTAGAAAGCTATTTTCTTCTTCTTCGGAATATAGATTTGAGTTAAATTTTTAATACGAATATATTTTTAATATTATTACAAACTACTATTATTTAAGATATAATATACCAACTAGAGATGGTGCGACAATAATATATAAAATCTTAATTGCTTTCATGATATCACTCTGGTTCTTATTTTGTAGTTACAAATATTTTAACCATATCTACGCACAAGGGATATTACCAATTTACTAGACTTCCTTTTGGGCTTAAGACCTCATCTGCAATTTTTCAACAGATTATGGATCAAATTTTTGGTGACATGGATGATGTCATATTTTATATTGATGATTTACTTATAAATGGAAAAAACGATGAAGCCCATCTTAACAACATAAAAAAAGTGTTTGATAGAATATCATCGTTTGGGCTAATACCTAACTTTAATAAAAGTGTGTTCTTTAAAAACGAAGTGAGGTTCCTGGGTCATGATATTGACGCTAAGGGGATTCATGCTAATCACGACAAAATTGAAGCAATAATTAATATGCCAGAACCAAAATCAGCTGCTGAATTATCAACATTTCTGGGAATGGCTGGCTACTATAGAAAATTTTTGAACAATTTTGCAGAAATTGCCGATCCTCTATATAAGATTGCTAACAAAGAAAAATGGGCTTGGAACCTTGAACACTCTAAAAGTTTTAATGATCTTAAAAAGTTGATTAGTCTTCCACCTGCTTTGACATATTTTAACCCTGAATTACCTATAGGGATAGCCACTGACGCATCGAAATGTGGTTTAGGAGCTGTACTATTTCATATTGAAAAAGACGGTAAAGAAAAACCTATAGCTTTCGCGTCGAGAACTTTATTAAAATCTGAAATGAACTATACCAATATTGAGCGTGAGGCTCTCGCCATTATGTTCGCTATAAAGAGATTCCAGGAATATTTAATCGGCACAAAATTTACAATTATTACTGACCATAAGCCTCTAGTTCACATCTTTACCAAGGGTCTTAAGGATAATAGCACCATGTCCTTAAGACTCCAGAAGTGGAATATTACATTAGGAGGATATGATTTTAATATAAAGTATAAATCCGGTAAATATAATGTTGTTCCTGATTGTCTTTCGAGATTACCACAAGAATGTCATGATGAAACTATTGAAAATATCACTATAATAAATGAATATGGGGATTTACCTATTAATTTTAATCAAATTCGTGATGAAACTTTGAAAGATATGGAATTAAAACAAGTCATAAATGATATTAATAACAACAGGCCTATTATGAATAATATTTATAAAAACATTGAATTGGAATTAAGTATAATTAAGGATTGTCTTTACAAAAGCAACAGAATCATAATTCCGTCTTCTATGAGAAAAAATATACTACAGTCATTACATGAAGGTCACTTGGGAGCAGGAAAAATCAAATCCTTAGCCAAAGATTTCATGTGGTGGCCTGGTATAAATAATGATATAGTAATGGAAGTGAAATGTTGTGACGATTGTAACATATATCATGATAATCCTATAAAGATACAAAAACCATGGGTTTCGGCAACCAAACCGTTTGAAAGGATACATATAGATTATGCGGGTCTGTTTTTCACAAAAAATTGGTTGATAATAGTCAATGCCTACAGCAAATTTCCAATTCTTATTCCTGTTAAAAATATTACGACTGATGTGACTTTAAAAGAAATCTTTAAAACTATTTCGCTATATGGAATATGAAACTATAGTTACTGATAACGGCACTAACTTTACGAGTGACAATTTTGAAAAATTTTGCAACAATTTTGGTATTAAACATGTGCTTACATCTGCCAATCTAATGGCCAGGTAGACGCATGGTGAGAACGTTCAAAACACATATGAAAAGGAATATTAAAATTGACCTAGACATCGCGCTTGGGAAATTTTTATTTAATTACAGAAATACGAGTAATGATACTACAGGTGTTACACCTTCTCAGAGAATGTTTAATCGAGATATTAGAATTAAATGGGACTTATTAAAACCGTTGGAGGAGAAGGATAATAAGATAAACGTTACTTTACCACGTAATAGAACTTTTAATGTAGGAGATTTTGTTTGGTATAAAGTACAAGGTGATGATAAATGGTGCAAAGGTATGATCACACATAAAGAAAGTGATATGATGTTCCGAATTAAGACAGAGAAAGGTATTTTGAGGAGACATTTAGATCAAATAAGAATTAGAAACTGTTTTAACACAATTATTAACTATGACTCTAAGGATTCTTTTAAGGAGGGAAGTGTGGACAAAAATATAAAAATTACTGATAATAATGATATAACACCTATTCCTAGACCTATGCGAATTAAACAAAAACCTGTTTATTTAAAAGACTACATAACTTAAAATATAAAATAAATATTAAATTGCATAAAGTAAATTAAATATTAAAACGCTTATAATAAAACGCAAAAAATTAAAACGCTGAAAATATTATATAACAATCTTGTTGATTTATCATTCGTCGTTTATTCTTATATCCAATATGATGAACTATTATTTCTTATTATTCGCCACTTACTGATGATAATAACAATTTTGAAAAATGATAATAATAACAACTGAGTACTACCAAGCAAGCTATGATTAATGGAGACAACTTACGATAAGGATATCAAGCTTGCGATTTAAACAAACCAACTTGCAAAATCGATTTAAACAAACAGAATGTTACATTATAGTCTAATTTTTAACCTTATTTTTACTTCTGTTTTTTTGCATACAAACTTTTTATAATCTAATTTTGTAACTTTACTTTTTATATTTCGTAACCTTACTTTTTATATTTTGTAACCTTACTTTTTATATTTTGTAATATTTTACTTTTGTTTTTCGTTTTTTTAATATTGTATTCTAATTTTGATTTGTAAAAAATGATATATATACCTTAAGAAAAGAAAAAGAAATGGGCATAATAAAGTTAATTATAATAAAAGATATTTTTACATACTGGCACGTTTATCATGATTCTTTTCATGAAAAGAAAGAAGGAAAGAATTTACCTGCGAGTAAGTAAAAATATATTTTATTATTATTAACTTTATTATATCTTTCTTTTTCTTTTCTTAAGGTATATATATATTTTCTAAAAATATAAATTAGAATATATATAAAAACAAAAAGTAAGGTTACGAGAAATAAAAAGTAATATAAGTTGAATTACAAAAATAAAAGGTTAAATTGAAAAGATAAATTTGAATTCATAAAAAGTAATATAAGTAAGGTTACAAAAATGAAATTATCAAAAAAGTAAAACAATAACCAAAATATATAATATTA